TAACACATTTTCTACAAAATTACTTCCTGTCTTTCTCTGAGCTTCTCTGATTGTACCAGGGAACAAGGGCAGGTTGTCCTAAGTTAACAAAACATAATACTATTGTTGCAGTGACCCCCTGGGAGCTCCGAAGTGCACATCACTCTGCAAACATATTACCAAAAGAAAGTCCCCACCATCAAATATTTATAACATAAACAGGACAAGAACCAACTGGGGTGTAGATGGACGGGGAACAGTGAGATGATCTTGGGCAACATGACAGGAAACTACTTGGCTGTAAGCTCTGCCACATTTTTGGTAGGCATGACTGGGTTTTTTTGAAAGTGTGAAAAGACATTTTCACATCTGGGCAAGCGTATCAGGATGCTGCAGATCAATCTTCACCCATTTCCCTGAGTAAGGCAGGTCATGCTGAGATGCACTGAAGATCGTCTAATGCAAAACCCATCTCTCCTCCAAACGGCAACTGTCAGGACACCTCTCCTGGGACTCCATCTTCCTAGTCTTTCCCTTCATTTTGTAGCAAATGCTTTATGTTTACACATTTTTACCTCTCCTGGCAGCCCTGCAACCTCCCAGCTGGATTCATTCCCTCTTTTACCTCATCACCACCAGTGAAAGAAGCCAAATACTCTTCATTATGTTCAACCTCATGATGTCCAGATTCAGTTCTTGCTGACATTTTATCAACTCTGTTACTTCGGATGGGCTTAGACAAGTCCAGCAAACTCTAACTGTCCTCTCAGGACAAAATCATGACTAGAGTTTTTGAGAGGAGAAGAGGACTCAGAGCCACAGCTTTTGGAAAATGGTAATGAGATCTGTGGCTGGTTTTTAAGTATATCCCTAATGCATTTGCAGAAAAAGGTTAAACCTTTATTTTCAGAAACTTTTGCTTCTAAGCCATCTTTGAAGCTCAACTCTGTATTTTTTAATAGAAACTTGAGAACCTTTGAAATTGAAAATTTTACTGGTTCGTCTGTCCCAGGAACCATCTCAGAAGTCCCAGACTCAAACAAATCCTCCTGGCCTGACTGCAGAAGAGCCAGCCTCCCTCAGCTCACTTTATGGTCCGTGGAGAAAAATAGGAGCTTCCACAGTTCAGGCTATCTAACTTCAGATGGTGCTTTCCAGCAAAATGAATCTTGTCCTAGAAAAGGACAAAACTTTCCCTAAGATGAGCCAAGGACAACTCACTATATAGTTTACACCTAAAGTTTGGTTAAATTAAGTTTATCCAAGAAGCACCACAACTTATTTTTGTGATTGAATTTCAGATTTATCCCTTTAAAGAACATTTCATTTTTGCTGACTGGTGATGTGACTATCTGGTGGACATGCTTGTGAGCACAGATGAAGAGCTTTGCCATCCAACTAAAACCAGCTGAGGTCTTGCACTGTGCTCACACACTTTGACAGTTTTCAAATCTTGTAACTCTATTTATCCCAGTCCAAGAAAAGGTCCAAGACCAGGTCTCCACCATATGAAGGAGTCACCTTTACCCAGGAGTGTTTCAGAGTACAGCAGCATTTTAGATTACCTGTCTGGTCAGTCCTCCAGAAAATTAATCTGCAGCTAACTCTTTCTCCAAGATTTTGGTTGCTTTCAGGTAGAAAGAGTTTCAGTCTACCCACTTCTTTGTTCAGGGGCAGTAGTTAAAACTGTGAGGCACTGCTGAAATTAGGATCAACCTCTCTCATGTGTAGACTCCCCACTGCCTTCCACAGAGCTCTGGTGCTTATATATGCAAACAAATAATCAAAAAACAACAAACAAACAACACTACAATAAACATTGCAGACAGAGGATGTCCTAAGGCCTTGAGTGCACCAGCACCAGCTCCTCCACAGCAAGGATAAATCACCGTGTTTGATGCAAGTTTTGGATGAGATACTGTCTAGCAGCTCCTGTTACCAGAGGAGATATGCCCTCACTGTACAGCTTCTCCTCCCAGGGATTGCGGTGTGGCTGGACTCCATCACCAAGAGTCCAAGTTGCGTCCATTTTCCCTTTTTGCAGCTGTGTTCTTCAACCCAAAATATTCCTTCCTTTCTCTCATTCTCTTCTTCTTTTGTTCAAAAATAAAAGTTTGTGATGTTGCTTATCCTGGTTAAATAAGGGATAACCTCATGCGCAGCTTTCCAAAAGGTTTGCACTGTTTTTCTTTGCTCCTCCTTTGATTACCTGATGAATTCAACAAATTGCCTGCCAGGAGCTAAGAGGGAGAAATAGCTCTGGGCAAGCAGGAGCTGCGAAGGCAGGCAAAACACACCAAAGAAGCACGGTTAGTGCTCTTTAACAGGAGGGGATAGCTATTCCTCTGCACACATAGTTTCCATCTCCTTTAGGAGACAACATGGGTCAAACACTACAGCTCAATTTATTATTGAACCGTGAGGGAAAAGAAAAGCACTGAAGGTCATCAGTATGAGTAATGACACTATGGAAGGTCTGAAGATCTGCCTTTGAGATATCTCTTGAAACCTTCCTACTCTCTTCCTTAACAGCCATTGAAGCGTTCAGTGAAGGCACCTGGGGAAAACGAATGAAAACCAGATGAACCACAACAAACAGGGGTCAGCAATGCATGAGCCAAAGAAGAGAGGATTACTCTCTGTCGATCATGCTGGATTGCTGGCTTCTGCAGCAGCTGGCCATGCACTGGACACTTGCACCATTGCAGCAGCAGCTATGGTGTCTCTCTTTGGGCATGGTGACAGGCAGGGTTGTGCTCACCCCAAGTTGCAGGACGAGTCAACTGTTCTTCACAGAAAGGCAATACAGGAAAACAACTACCTCCTGCTGAAATACTCATCACTTTAAAGATCAACTCTTCTTTAGTTGAGGTTACAAATATAGAAGTCAGTCTGAAAATTTCATAAATAAAAGACTTTAATCAGAGTTTGTGATTTCATAATAAAAGTGCATATGATCAGAAGACATGAAAGTTCTACCCCCACAGATATAAATTATATGCTGAATTTTACACATAAGAATATATTTTGTCAGCTATTTTTTTTCTGAGTCTCAATCTTAATTTTATTCTAAAATAACTTTCCTAAGTGGCATCTTTTATATAAAATAACATATTGACTTTCTTCTGAATTTAATCCAGGATGCAGGATGCCTTCATCTGGTTTCCCCCAGAATTCCCTTAAAGCCCAATAAATCTGTGACTATTTCCTCTCTGAAGCCTCGGAGGATATAGAATTACTTCACAACTCCTCAAGCCCGGAGCCCTCAGCATGGCTGATGGAGAGCCAAAATCAGAAGGGAGCTGCTGAAACAGGGACATGAAACAAAAATAGTCCCCTGGAAAGGAGCAAAACATAATGACAAAAGCAACTCCCTTTTGGAATTACATCATGATGATAATCAGAAATCACACTTAAGTGTTAAAAAAAAGAAAAAAAAAAAAAAAGCAACAACAAACCAACAAGGATTCTCTGTGTGTTTGTCTCTACCAATTGTTAAAACAGTAGCAAAGTGTCATATGTTTCCAGTCATAGCCCATCACGAACAAAAAGTCTGTAACAGCACTTGATACGGTCATGGGCCAATGCAATTTAGTTTTATCATAGTACAGTCAGTAGTTCTTTACTTCTCCTGTAAAGGGATAAATTATGTTTCAGCTTTAATTTTATATAGTGTCATTTTTAAAAAAGCCACTTACGCTTCCCACATTGCTGTTTTACTGCATGATCCATGTCATATTAAGCTCTATCTTGGCATAAGTTTTATTGAGCATTACATTACTGCTGGCTTTGAAGTACAATTTCACGTGCACATTATAGGCTCGGGCTAAGGGAAGCAACAAACTGCTCTGGTTACAGCCTGGTTAAAATGCATCATTCCGTGACTGCAATGCACGATGCAGTGTGAAGAATTTCAGTCGCCAATACTGAAAGAATATATTTTTTGCCACTTTCCCCCACATCTTTCCAACAAGGTAGAAATAAAAGCAGTGTGTCTGGCCACTATTTCGTTTGTATTCACATGAGGATCAAAGCACAGTTATGTAGATCCAATGCCTGTGTAAAGCCACCTGCTCTGTTTCTCCCATGCAGGGAATTTCCAAGGGCAGAAGCTGTTTATTTTATTTTATTTTATTTTATTTTATTTTATTTTATTTTATTTTATTTTTTATTTTTTTCTGCACATGGCAGGAGAGATGAAGTTCAGCTCCCCCCCCCCCAAAAATCTGTGGCAGAAGCTCCCATATATGTGCCCTAATGGTCCACATATTTTAAAACATATTGCCCTGTACCTATTTGCAGACAACCCCCTAATAGCATTTTGAGGAGAGAAGGTTTCAGTGGCATGCTAAAGAGGTTGATGCTTCTGACTCATCGTGATTTTAAAACATGGTAGGGGTGGGGAGGGTGGTCCTGGGTGTCACAGGAATGGCTCCACCAATATCAGAATCTGCCCCACGATTCCACCTTCCCTGAATATCCTACAGTTAGGTCAGTGGCTGTATCACATTAGGGACCCTTCAGACATTTCAGCGTCTCACTGCATACCCAGATGATATTGCACAGATGCCTTGCGTTACAGGACCTGTTTCCTATGCTCGACTGTGCAGCTTTTCCTCTGAGTGGGGCAAAAATCACTTAGCAAGATGAAGGAAGATTGTTCGGTTTGAGCATGTCCTTATCAAAATGACTTTCGTTTCCGTCCTTGTAGTTTCAAAGCAGGATTTGTAGGCATGTCACTGCAGTTTAATGATCCCTCTCCTTTCTGCTGAGTGCTCCTAGCATTACAGAAGCTAAACCATTAAAATATGTGTTTCTCTCACAGCATGGACACTTGGCTCTAAGTATTACTTAAAAGACATGGGTAAACACAGGAAAAGATGTCTCAGCAGGAGGGAAGTGATTGTGGGGACAGTATGTTCTGACAGCAATTCAAAATTACCAGTAGGCTACAGAGTAGGAAGTCATAGATAACAAGTTGTTTTATTTAAATAGCCAGCGGGTCTCAGCCCAGAGAACAATAGAGTCTGCTCCTACAGATGGTGCCATACCCATGCTGGGAACTTCATTTGGTCAGGCTGATAAAAGCAAGAAAAAGGCAGATAAAATCACTGAGGAATGGACCAGGCTGAGAGGTTGGCTCTGTTTCTCCTTTTGCCCACAGCAGAGAAAGTCACATAAGGTGAGTGGCGGTACCACCGTGGTAAAGCTGAAAGGCAACAAGGCATGTCTGGGCTTTTCCAGCCTCAGGGTGGTTTTTATTTTTTTCATTTAAACACCTGTGAGTTTCTCAGGCCAAGTTCCACAGCCTTGCTGAGTCGGGAGGGGGATGCAGCACAGAAATTGGAAGGGGCAGCAAAGCACCCAAACCCTGCTGGGGACCCAGCCCTCAGCCATGCAGGGGTACAAACCAAGGCACAGCAGCAGACAGACAAGAAGCAGCATTCCTAGGGAAGAGAGGGACTACTTAACACCTTAGCTTGAGCTCTGCTTTCTTGCATCAGCAAGGAAGGCATCTTCACAACCCAACAGAGGTGTGTTTTGTGATGGTATCTGGGTCTCCTCTGTGAGAAATGATGATTTGGAAGAGAACCAGCTGCAAAATTCAGGGTTTAGGGGTGGCTCAAACCAATAAGTGCAATTTTGCTATGTTTCAAACAGGGAAAATTATGTAAAAATGACCCCCACTTCATGACACTTAAAGGGATAAGCTGAATTTACCCAGGGTCACTCAGCAGATTACTGATAGCACTTTGAAACTCCCTATTTGCACCTATAGGTCCACTACTCACACAAAGCTGCCAGGACTACATACAGGAGACGTACACACCTCATCTTTTCCTTCTATGCATCTCTTGCAACACACTGAGCAAAAGTCTCCATTATCCAAAATTTTATTTCCATGTGAAGCAACTTTAAATTACTTTTTAATGCAAACAGCAGTGAATTGGGTTCCTTTGATCTTAACAAAAGTAAAAATTACTCCAATAAGTAACTAAAGGCTCAGGTTTTCACTCACTCTCTTTGTGGTACCCAGGAAAGCTCATTTAATTACTGGCCATAAAAATAATGTGTTCCTTTAATATAGAAAGGAAGAAAAAACTCCCATCCTAGGAACCTGCTGTGGTTCTCTGTGCCATGGGGATGTGTATGTTATATTCTCCTGATCGTGGATAAGAAGTAAGCTTTAGGATGTCCACTTATATGCATCAGTGGCAGAGATATTCATATGAGAATTAGGGAGATATCATTACCTACAATAAACCCATTGACTACCCTTTAATGGGAGCCTAGGTTGGTATGGGACATGGCATCCTCTGAGACCAGCAAGTTTCCAGGAGCACTAAAAGGGGGCTGGGAGCAGTTTAGCTTAATTATGCACCATGCCTATGGTATAGGAAGACATTACACATACAGGGAGAGTGTGTCAGATCATTTCCCATCATTATCAGTTGACCTTGGACTGAAGAAAAGCACTACTTCAGGAAAGCAATAAACCATTGTCTGTGTTTCCCTGGGCACAAGAATAGGGGTGCTGACACTGCAAAAAGAAATATTTCATTTAGACATTAGAAAAAAAGCCTTTCTAACTAGAAGACCAGAGGAGGCCAATGGCTGAGTTTGGGCAAGTCATGCAGTGCCCATCATGAAACTAGGCACATCTCTGTAATGACTTGGCCAGGTCTAAAATATCTTGCCTCAGGGCAGGGAATGGATAAAAAGCCTTCTCAAGTTCTCTTCTAACCTTATTTTCCATTTTTCCTCCTACTAAATATTTTCAGTCAACTAGGATGTCTTTGTTTCTTATTTTCCCTTAAGAAGCATTTGGGAAGCTGTCTGTCCACTCAGCAGAAAGCTTTCTCTTCAAACCCCTTGAACGTATTAGCTGGCTCCCATCCATTTTGAATAAAACTCCTAAAGAAGAGCTGGGTAAGTTGAAGTCCAATGAGATTACCAGTTACCAATGGTGTTCTTGGATGTGGGGAGCATTCCTCCACTTGGGGAATGAGAAACGCTCATGCATTTCACGTATACCACCAAAAAAGCCACCCGAGGGGAGCAACTGTGATGTTTATGATTGGGCGATGCTTATTGTTGGTGATGATTGGGGTGGTGTTCAGAGCAGCAAACCCAAGATGAAAGATTTCATATCACATTACCAACCACCCAACCCAAGTGTGCCAACAAAATTAACAGAAACCCTTTGGAAACACATAGAATTCAATTATTTTGGCTATATTACCACATCCATGGCAAATTACAGGCTGTCTATTGGAAAATCTCCTCTCAGTCTTGCCATTTTTTGTTCTTCAGTTCTGTTTATGTTCCCAGCATTTTCACCTCCTGGCAAAGGCTCAGTGTTTTTTGGGAAGGACTAAAGATAGGCTTTTGCTCCACAGAACGCTATTTAGTGGTTGGACAAGGTTGCAATTAGACGGTGTGGTCTTCGATTCCTCTGCAGACCCGTGATATCAAGCTTGCGGTGTGACCTAAAATACTATATTCAGATACAAGCCCTGCCAGACCAAAGCAGCGCAGTAAATCTGATGGGTGTTTAGAGGGGAATGATAAGGGCTATGTAGTCACAGGCTTTCAAAAGCTGCTTCTTATCTGGAGTGTCTTCAAGGGGCTTGGAAAGGGATAGTGGAATCCATTGACTTTAAACACCAATTGCATCTGCTGCAGAGCCCATTTCTGTCAGGTGATGCATGAAGAGCCCCAGGGAGAGAAAACTACAAGTGCCCAAACGTAACAGTTCACTGGCACCAGCTTGGACTTCGAAAAGAGTACACCTGCATTAGCCTAGCAGCTCTACTCATGCAGAAATTAGGAGGGGGCTTCAAAACACTCCAACCTTTCCAAATATTGTAATGAGGTTAGAGGCGGAGCCAGGGTTTCTCTCCAAAATTTTAAGCAGAGATTTAAGTTTCTGCTCTTTTTCTTATTTCTCACAGGCATTTGAGATCTGAGATGAAGTATGCTTCAACCTGCAGGAGGGCTGCATGGCCAGAGGGCACTCGGTGTGATGCACATCCCTCAGCATGCACTTCACAGCCTGGAGAAGTGAGCAAGGAGCTCACATTCACAGCTGGAAATCATCAGCCTCCGTTAGCAAAATCAGGATATCTCAGGGTAAATGCTGTGCCACTAACTGCATGTTTCTGGTGTCTGTGCTGTGAGTTGTTTTTTGAGTTGTAGGCAGGGGGCAAACACACCTCTCCCAGTATTGTAGTGTCTAATCATTTCCCAAATTTTAATGTGTTTATCATCGCATCGACCCTCTGAGATATGGGATTAGAGGTAAGATTTTTGAAGCACAAAGTCTTGGGTCAGGTTTTGAAAATATTACAAAAGCATAAACATCTTATTTGTATTTAAAAAAAATCCAGTTCCACAAAAATGACCCAAGATGACTCTGATAGAGCTGGGACTTTGTGTTCCGAATCTCTCTCTAAAGGCACAGCATTCTTTCTGCCTTTAAAACACTTTTTGTTAATTTTAATTCAGACCCTTTAAGGCACTAAAGTAAAAATACAATCCTGGATTTACAAACAATTTTTTTGTAACAGCTACAAAATCATATAAATATTACTGAACCTAGCGACATCCATAATCAAATTAAATAGAGTTTTCTAATATTGTAGCTAAAGTTTCCTTAGAGCACATGGCACTATGGTATCTGTCTCTCACTGCATATGGAAAGGTCTGGGGAAAACCAGACAAATTAAACTAGAGCCACAGAATTATTTTGGTAGTACTTAAACTAAATTACATTGCATATTGAAAGACTGCTCCTTTTATTTCTTTTTTTTTTTTTTTCTGCACAAGTAACGAGGTTTTCCAACATCCTAACATGGGTTCACTATAAATCAGCCTTCCCAGTGTAAAACAAGCTAGAAAAGAATTGATCAAAGCTATAAAGAAAGATAAACTTTTGAATCCATACTCTGTGCAGGCGATATTATTTCTTGATGGCTACTGGTTTGTCTGGAGGCATACAGGAGGGATGAATGAACCCCATAGAAAGGTTTCAGTTCAATCAGTTCAGCTTTCAAAGCCAGATGAAATCTGAAAAAAAGTTTCTTTTACCCCAGGGAATTTGTGAGGAGAGAGATTCTCACCAACATCGGCGATTTCACATTAACCTTCAGGTCAGACCAACGTTGCATTATTAGCATTATTTAATTAACAAAATTCATGCTTTGAAACCTTAAATATTTGCAAATTCATCCCCTATAATGACTTTCATTCATTATTATTTATCTAGGGCCAGAGTCAGCCTGTAGCAGCTCTCATTTCCCGCAGCGGGAACAGCTGGGGGAGACAACCCAGTCACTCTCCGGAGGTGTTTAGATGGGAGCAGAGCTCCTCCAGAAATCTGGCTCCAATTACGAACACTACGTGCTTTAAAAATCTGACCCTCGTGCTCAGTGTCGGCTAGACATTTTACAAACAAGTCTGATGATAATGGCATAGTCATACAGGCAAAGTGCTCCCAGCGTAGACGCAGCCCAGGCTTGGGGCTTTGCCAGCGCAGCTATTCGGGGATAGGCTCGCACCCTACAAGTGGGGCTCTGCTGTCCAGGTACAGCCCAAAGGAGCTGCCAGCCAAGGAGCCCGAGATTACCATCACATCTACAGAAATGTGCCACTTTGCTGTGAAAAAAAAATCAGGTTTCCCGGATTGCATCAGAAGAAAACCAGGTGCTCATGTTCGATGGTTATTTTTCAAAAAATCAAAACATTTTACTTAAAATGTTTAAGGAAACGTTTTTGTTTTTGTTTTTTAAGATTCTTTTCCCATCTAAATTGTTTTAAATTTCATGTTTTCATTAACAAAAAGAAAAAAAATTAATTAAAAAATCACCCTCAAAATATCTCATTGAACTTAGAGTATTTTTTTCTCATGTTTGCCAATGTCTGCTCCACCTTTGTCATCAGCCCTCTGGATGGCCTGAATCAAAACACGTCACCTCCTTCCAGATCTGTTCTGTTGCTGGTTAAAGGGGAAAGTGATACTGACATGCTTGGTAAGTGCTTGAAGATTAAAATGCTCACACTCCTGATAGATGGAGAAAGTCTATGGGTATATACACAGGAGCTAATAAAGCTTTCAGTACCGCACCCTACCACCCTGTACCTACAGCGTTGGTAAAAATATCCACTGATGTATTTTACACCACTTTTTCTCATATCCATCCCTCTACCTGTCAAGTCCTCACACCCATGAAGTAATTGAAATGTGTGTGACTGGCGCCTGTAAGCCCAGCAGCAGCAAGGAATTAATCTGAACGACGGCATCTGCTAAACACTCTTCTAGGCCCCAGCTCAAAAATGATCATTTTACTCTCCCTTCTCTATGCCTCTGCCCTGGGACCCTGGGACTTCTGGATTTGGTATTTCTGATGGGGCTGCACTTGCCCTTGCCATCACCCAAGCTCCCAGGTAAGCCTGTATGGGTATGTGTCTACACAAACCAGTCCCTCGTCTAGATGCCAGTGTGAGCTCAGGCTCTGGTGGTCGTCGGTACCTGGGCTGCCCCTGCATCCATCGCCACACAGGGCTGGCCATCCCACCTCTGGGGTCCCTGAACCCTGTCTCTAAGAGCCAGCCATGCCAGGCATTTCAGTGGAAAGTACAAGAAACCCTCTAGTGGACGATTAGAGGGAATGGGTTTAGGCTCCAAAGTGTGAACATTTTTATTGCTTATTGGATTCAATGCCAGGTTGATCTGGCAACCAGTGTTCTATAGGACAACTCCTGGCTCCTTTTTTGTGTGTTTTTCTCCTGGTTTTGGACACACCTCAAGCCAATGCCCTGAGCCGGGCAAAGACTCTGTTCGCACAGGTTTTGGAGGCTTTGCCATGGGTAGCAAGGGCAAGGGACTGCATTTATGCCAGCTGGGTGGCATAAATGCCTCCATGAGGAGGCCTGGGCTGCTCTCTCTAACTGCATGTGAGGTGGTGGACTTTAGAGGTAGTCAAGCATGCAACTACCTAAGTACCTAAGATTTCCCCTCTGCATCCCTGCAAATCCAAATGCCTTCGAGGCTTTCCTGAAAGTCTTTGGGTAGTTTAAGCCCTCTGTAGCTCATCAGGTACTTGGTAGGAGCCTTGCCAGAGTCCCAGGGTGAAGTGCTGTCTCTGAGGCCAATGGTAAGAGCTGAGTAGGATAAGGATTTCCTCACATTAAGTTTCTAGGGTTGCAAAGTCCATCTTTCCTGGCCCTTTGTATTCCTGAAGATTTTATTTTTGGCTGAGCAGCATATACATTTCTGTGAGATATATTTATCTTAGCTACTCATTCCTCAGCTTAAAATCCACCTAGAAGAGCTATGGCTGTCAGGATGCTTTGACGCTGAGAATGAATGCAAAGCCTGCTCTGATGTGTGACTCTGCCCTGGTCAAACCTGAGAGCTGGCGTTGAATGTCACCACAGCCTGGCCCTCTTACCCTGTGCAGGGATGCTGCAAAGAGCCAACCTCTCAGACAGTGCAGGGGCTAAGATGTGCATGGATGTGGATATGACCAGGTCAGTTTTAGCTCAGGCTACCTTTGCTACTTGTTCAGCCTCTCAGTCAGCTCCACACCCAGTCCATGCCGAGTACCCTATTTCCAGTGCCCAAACTAGCCAACTGAAAAGTTTCTTCAGCTCCACTTTTTTTTGACATATAATATGTGGTCCTTGAAGTGTAGACACAACCAGAGGCATCCAGATGGACAGGGCACTGGTAGAGCCTTAGCATGGCCCAGAGATGTCCTATGCTGTTGGAGACAGAAGACTTTGAAGTAGAAGGCACTGTATGATCAGCATGTAGCTTTAATTTGTCACTGTTGGTAACCTTCGGTGTCCTTCTCTCTGTTTTATGCCCACTTCAGGACTAGTCACTGGTACCAGAGTCGTTCAGTGATGGGTTTTCGGCTTGAGGCAAAAATGCAAGCATTCTCCAGGGAGACAGAGCTGTTGTACAGAATCGTGTCCTCCTCACAACCATTAGAACACAATCCCCAAAACACAGCCAGGAATACTTCCTTTGGTAAGTCATCCTTCCTCCTCAGCCCTTGCTGCCCATCCTTTGTACATCAGCTGAGCCCCTTCTCAGGAGTTGAGAAACCCATGTTCAGTTCCTTCCTTTGGCTTAGAGAGTGCAAACACCTATTTTCCCATCTTGGGGGGCAATGCCTGCCTCCCCCACAACATGTGGAGGGTGACAATGAACCCGTTTCAACTCTCCTGCTTACAACTGCTCCAGTGTGGAGGAGAGCATTCAAGCTGTATGGTGCTGGGGAGAGCAGAAGCAGTACAGGAGAACACCTCTGTGCCCGGATAGCTTGGGTTCCTCTAGGGGAAGCAAAGCGTGTTTTTTCCTCTTGGAGTTTGTTCCAGAATTTTATCCTATTCCTATTTAAAACAAATACATAGGCTAGTTCAAGTAGCTGCAGCAGTCAGCAGCACCGGAGCAGACTTCAACAGGGATCTCTCAGTTTCTCACCGGCGTTAAGGTGGAGAGCGAGCTGCCATGGCTCAGTGAGCACCTTAGAAAGGATGCTTGTCAAGTATAAAATAATGTTCACAAATTAAAGCAATTAAACTTAGGATGTGGTATGTCAGAAGTGGAAGAAAAATGCAGTCTCTGGCATCACGCTGGGGTGCGTTTGTCACATAATGTCTGGGGGAATCCCAACAGATAGAGGGACCTTTCACTGGATGCAGAAAATGAAACTCTCATGGTCATCCTAGGTTATAAATGGGACCGTTGTTGATTTTCTTCATGCGAAGCTTGTCTGTCCCCAGCAAAACATTAACAGTCCTGGAGAAAAATTCACACAAGCAGATTTTCTCCCCATTGAGCTCCCCCTTTCAGACACAGCCACGTTTGCTCCCAGCTCCGACCACAGCTCAGCCATCAAAGTGCCTTTTGTATGTCCCTCCAAAATAGTTTATTCTTCTCTGGCAAACAACATCATTTAGCACTAGCTGGAGGAGCTGAATGGGCTCAAGTTAGGAAAACCAGATGTATTTGAATCATCTGTCAAAATTAGAGGCCAGCGCTTGATCTATGGCAAGGTAATGAAAAGAGTCACTCATACATTAATAGGGCCAAGTCATAGGAGCACTGCAAATCACGGAGCGGGATATTGTATGAATGTGTCAATGTTACTGATATCCAGGGGCCCGTTACCGAAACACGCACTGATGAAAGACTTTGTGTGTGCACGCAGAAACAAGCCAATAAAGTCCTGCTCGTTGCACAAAAACAAAAACAAGATCTCAAAAGGCTGCACAACATTAAAACAACAATCTCCTGTTACCTTGTTACCCTCTGTGCTATCACTGGAGCAAGACACTGGACCTGAGAGACTTTTTAGTATTTTTCTAAACGTTTTTTACAGACTTAACAGCCTACCTCCAAGGTCATGCCATCAAGAGGGAGAAGTGATGACTCAGATGCCATCGGTGAGTTTAACACCCTGTCCTGGTCTGCTGTTATTTATTGCTGGTTTTATAGCAGGGCCTCAGTGCATGAAGTCTTGTACAAACACATAGTGAGGACAGCCCTGGCGGAGGGCTTACAGTTGATAAAAGGGGGCTGCAAACTGTGCCTCATGCGTTGCTAGTGGTGTGCCAACCACCTCCAGGGTGAACACAGGAGCATCTCCCTGCATTTTGGGGGAGATGCTTCCTTCAGGCACCAAGAAATGTCCAGCATGGGCCTCATATTTGTGCAATGGTTAGTCTTCAGCTAGGGCGTCTTTTGCTCTGTGTAGTGACCTGAAGTTTGATGACTCTGGTCTGAATGTTATGGCTGGTGGTGAAGGACATGCTCAAGGTCACACTGAACATTAGGGGCTCAGTCAGGAATAAAACCCAGACTTCTTCAGTCCCGTCTAGATGCCAAGGCAAATGGGTGCTGGAGGAAGCAAGTGGCCCCTAATAAACATCGCCCTTATGATATTCTCACAGCATTTGAAAGGCTTCCTCATGAATAGATTAGAAAATGTGCAGAATCAGATCTGCAGCTAGCACCATCAGGAAAAACAGCTTCTTTTGAATTGATTTAGCTGTCAAAATTTGACACCAGTCTACACCAACTGAGGATTCAGCCCCCTATTCTTGGCAAGTGATTTATAATGAAAGAATGTGGATACACTTAAGCAGCTTGCTCTTTTTTATTTTAAGATCATGATTCGTTCCAGATTGGTAATTAAATTTAGTTCTTTCGGTGATAGGAACTGCTCTGACAGCTGCAAATCATAATAATATGCATTTGTGTACGTTTGTGTCTACATCCTTGTGCATTTTTGCTGTTGTAGCAACGAATACAGTCACTGACTTAAGAACATTACACGGTATTTTGAAATTGTTCTTGCAAACAGCCAGTGCTTGCATGATCAGGGCAGAGTGGTGCTCAGCTAAAGACACCTTTGCCTGCCTCCCAGAAAGACCTGTCTCCAAACAGCAACATCTCCACCTATGATGTTGGTTGGGTCAGCCCCAAATTAGCCCAGCCACAACCCCCAAATTAAGTGCTTATTTGTCCTGCTGAGCTGCCTTCTTGCTGCAACGTGTGCCCCACACTGCTCTGTGCCTTGTGGGGCTGTCCCAGCACACTGGGACTGTTCCCCTGGGGATGGGTGGAGGTGGCAGGAAGGGATGGGAGAGTTATTATCAGCTGAGTAATGTAATCCAAATCTTCCCCGGAGCTGTGGCAGATTTCTAAGTGAAAGCAAAAGAAATGCTCCAGGCAATGCATCCTGCTGGGGCAGCTTGTCCCAGCTGGGAGCACCAGCTAACCAGGATGATTTCTCAGTGGGGGCAAGGAAAAGGTTTGGAGCAGCTCCCAAGCTAGAGCTTGCGCTCATCCTGATGTGAAGGCATGCCTGAAAGAACCCACCCCCCTATTCAAAAGTGTGCTGCAAGGCTTAAATTTGCATTTAGATGGCAATCACAAATAGAAATGCCACCAAGATGTTTCTTTAGTTCTGGAAATTCAGCAAAATTCAAAGCTGTTTTTATGATGCTGCCAGACCCATTTCCATTGATGGGAATTAATTTTTCCCAAAAACTGAATGGCGTGATAGCGTGCCAGTTTTGATTCTCCTAGCTGGTGGCTCTGGTTGCTGAGTCTGGTCTCTGGGCATGCAGCATGGATCCTCCACAGCTTCACATGTGGCTCCTGTGACTGATGGCCACGTCCTTGAACCCCACATAACCCGGTCTTCTAGTCTCTGATAGATCCGTAAGATAAAATCCAGCTTCACTGGGATTTATTTTCATCCCTCTAATGAAAGTGTTTTGATTCGTTTTGCAGCATGGTTTAGAGAGCAGGAAATTTAAAACCAGCTCAATGTGCAGTAGGCTTGAACATGGAGATTTGCTGTCAGCCCACCCAACGGGGGTGCAGCTTAGTGCATGATGGAAAAGGCGGTTTGGGGGGTTCAGAAGCAATTTCCTCACTCTACCACCAACTCAGTCCTCAAAGAGCAGCAAGCTGTCTACTGTACCTCTTCCTGAATGTGGGTGAGAGTCTGTCAATCAATTTGATAATCCCCAAAACTTGTCTGAGATATGACTCCAGGCTCAGGAAATAAAATTTAAAAAGTCGACATTACGGTAAAAGGAAAATTATCAGCTGTAATTTTCAGTAGAGTCGAAATAGGAAAACTGCAGCATTTACAATTTGTGTAAAAGAAACTGGTAATCTTTAACACTTGTGTTATCTTGTGTATTCCTCAGTTCAGGCCATACATGTCACTGTTATAGGATTAGCCTCAACAAGTCACAGAGCCAGGGACACAGAGCTGAGCCTTAGAACTGACAGGTGGTAGATGAGGGAGAATGTATAGGTGTAAAGGGAGAATGTAAAGGTGGTACGAGGCAATCTTACTGTCCTGTGCCTTCACCAGCACCTCCCTGCCAGCTGTCACCACTGGCAAATGTGGAATAGCTTTTGATATCTTGTTTTTCTCTGTCGGAGTATCAGCTGAGTTTGGATGGAGTTTAGAAAGCTAACAGGAATGCTGGTTTTAATTTTAGGGGAGAAAAAACAACCCTTCTGTGCTTCAGTTTGTTTTCCAACTTTCAAGACAGAGACCACATCCTCCCTGGTTTACTGCTTCTCCTTATCTGACAGACGGGGTCATGCTGCAGGGATAAAACAATATACTCTCAATGCAGAGGTCTCGCATGTTTATTGGGAATAACTTCATCCCTAGCCGACTCAGTGTGTTTTTAAAAAACATCTTTTTTTAAATAGTTTCTTTGAAGGCTAGTATTGGGGTTGTGTCCCTTAATTCTTCAGAGAAAAGTGACCTTTAAGCCTCCAATTTTGAAAACCGTTCCAAACCATGGAGCCCCGAGTGCCAAAACCTTTTCACATTCAAATCTCTTTCAAGCAGAACAGGGAGAGGAAGACTGGAGTTAGTGCACTCAAATGACCTCATTTGCCACATCAGAGCACAGAGAATTTATTCTATAAAGAGCATCCGTATGTGTGCAGTATCCAAGATGCCTTGTTAGCCAGTTGCTTCAATATTGCTACTAATAAGCCAGCTTTTATATGGTATGGTTTGGCTGGAATCAAACATATGAATTCTACATCATACAAAATTTTGAGGTCCTGATCAGCAAAGCCACTTCAGCACATGTGTAGGTTCAAGCACACAAGCATGGAGATCATCAGAACTTTCCACCAAAAAATGTTTTCCAGTGGAAAATTAGCTGTTAGGTATTTGGGGAGAAGGGGGGGGGGGGGGGAGGGGGGAGGGGGAAGGTTTTTTTCTTCTTTCTTTTTTTTTTTTTCTTTTTCTTTTCTGAACTAATTTATTTCCAAAAGTTCTTCTTTTTGAGGAAGATGCCAAGTACTCCTTTAATTGAAATATTTACTTTGAAAGAAAAATCTTTAGATCCAGCTTGTTTTCCACAGCAAATGGTGGGACTTTCAGATCCTTTCCTTTTTGCCCCTCTTCTCTTTTATGAGCTTGGCCAAGTTTTATCTCCCACAACATAACTGTTTTCTCACATCATGACAGAAGACTGCGGTGTATCACAGGAAAGAGAATCTGAGCAAGTCTGGTTGATTGAGGCAAATGTGAGTATAAGGCACTTACATAGCAATTTCTGCACAGTAGAATGTTAGCATTTCTGACTTTAAAAAAATAAAATAAAATAATAAAAATATTTAAAAAAAAAACACAAACACACAGTATTCTGCTGAAAATAAATTACCCTTTATTGAGAGAAGATTAAACTTTCCTGCAGAAGATACTAAGAAAACAATGCTGCTTTCATTTTTGTTCTGAAACTGAACTGAAAGCAGTTCTGAAGAATTTCTGAAGAGGCAACTTCTGAAGAAACTCATATTAGGACAAAGAAGAGGGATTATTCCTGGGTAAGGCCATCAGGGCTTAAAACAAATTATTTTCAAAATTAACTTCAAGCAGCAGCTTTGTGTCACAACGTCACCCTTGTAGAAGCACCTTACGATGAAGAGATGCTCTTCTAAGCTTTGAACGGTGCAAGTTCATTGTCAAGAGCATCAGGTTGATGAAGGGAAGCTTAACTCTATGTGAGAGTAGCAATTCCTCCTAAAATAATGCATCCTGTTCTTTGGGACCATAAGTGCTCGTGTCTGAGACTGCAGCCCGTAGTACAGGGCTGTTAAATATAGCTGTGCATTAGCCTGCTGGATGCAGAGAACAGGGCACGCTATGAATAAATCGATATCTGCGTGGGCTGCACCATGGGAGCTGTTACGGTTATGGATGCTTTGCGTTTAGTTAAATGCTGGCAGCCTGCTCGGTGCTGGCCAGGATGCTCTAACGGAGACAGTGCTGTCTCCCAGGACTTGCACTCTACGTGTCGAGCCTCAGAAAGGCAGGATGTGACTGAGAAACCCAGAGGAGGGATTTGTTCGGAATTGTTCTAATTATTTAAGGCTTAACTCGGCACTTGCTCACGTGCATTGCTCACCAGCAGGACTCATTTCAGTGCAGAGCTCCAAGGAGGTTTAACTCAGCTCATACTGCCCTGAAACATATAACTAGGGGTAGATAATGCCACCACCTCTTACCTGCAGCTGCCCAGAGGTTTCTGTGGGATCCTTAGCCCTGTAATTGGCGAATGTGCACAGCAGTGACCTTGGTACAGATGAGAGCTCACAGTCCACCTGGGGAAAAAAAGCAGAAATCAGAAATAATGGCAGTGCATTATAAGGGTGCTTAAAAGCTAAAAGTTGTATCTAATCATCAATCACTGCTTTGCTTGGTTGGGAGAAACTCTAGAACAAAGCACTGAGAAAAATAAGCTAATTCCCTGCTTGTGTCTCAGGATAGAGCTGGGAAATATATCCCAGGTTTTCTGCCAGGGAACAGGTTTTACAGCAAAAGAATGAATTTAGTAGAATAGCTGATATTTATCCCAAGCAATGTTAAACTCAGCTCTTTCTTCTAAAAGTTCAGGATGCCTTATCTGACCCCAAACGTGCACTCTGTGGGGACACAGGAGACAATGCCATCCTTTACTGGTTACATCTTACTCTGCTCTAAGGTTTCTCCTGTTGCGTGATGCACTAATCTTTGCACATCTTTCTAACTGTATCTATTGTGCCAGCACAAAGCATTTGATTTAATCACCCCGTGAAACACTGGTGTGTGTAACAGACGTTCCTCATCCCTTCAGCCACACAGGTGTGATGGGAACAGCAGGCAGAGCCCTTCCGGCTGACCCAGAGCACCCACTGCCTCCTTCCCCCCCTTAGAGATTGCTGGGATAAGTGAAAAGAAATACAGAATGCCAGGACCAACACGACCCCACACCTCATTCCCATGGTGTACAATGCACCTAACAACTGGTTCTTTCAGAGTGCTGCCATTAAAATAAAACATAAAAAAAAAAAAAACACATCACGTTCTCTGGCACTGAGCACAGTGTTTTCCAGGTATCGCTGATAGCCGGGTGACATCTCAGCTCTCGGTGCTTCTGAGTGAGAAAACACTGGGCTCTTTTTTCATGTAATTGGAGCTGCTGAAAGTTTGTTTTGTTGTTGTTATCACTTTCTGCTAAGTGCCAAGTGAAAGGACATCGGGAGCCAAACAGAGAGGCTGCTGGGGAGAAGTGCGGGCACCCTGTGCCTCCCTCCTCTTCTGCTCTGAACCAAGATGAGCTGGGGGCAAGGGGAGCTGTTGGGGATCACTGACCCCCCCAGGAGCACATTCATCTCCCAGGGTCATCCTGGCACTGTGCCTCCTTCCACACCCACTTTTTGGGACCGCCAGGCCCATGGGCCATGCTCCTCTCCCCTCCAAAGGGTGAGCAGGAGGTTCAGAAACCTTAGGGATAAATTCACGACCTGTCCTCCCAGCCCTCCCTCTTCTACATCCACAGCTGCCTTGCTGTGGGATTTGGGATAAATGGGTGGGAATGGGTACAGCACTGGTAAAGGGGACCACCTTCTGCAGGTTGCCACCATCCTGCCCAGGGTGGTAGGACAGCCCTACCCCACGCACCCTCTCTGAAGGCCACCGTGCCTCTGGGTGAGTATTTTTTAGTATTTATTCTCAGCACTGTACAGCCAGCCAACAATCTGCAGAACGGGAGCAAGTGTAAAAAATTGGGCTCCTTTCCAATACGTCTAATTCAGGTGACAGGCTGGATTATCCCTGAAGGTTTTGGAGAAGTACTTTCTTCCTTTCTTTGACTATATAGGGAGAACTAATTTTGGTTCCCAAGTGTGTCAGGCTGGATCTGGGCCTTGGATTCCTGTTCAGCTGAGCACTCTGGCACGTGCCTGTTTTTGAGTGGGTGCTCGAGACCCTGCAAAGTTCGTGGCACTTCACATGAATCCGAAGGTAAGAGCACACTTAAGGCTTTCGCTAGATCAAAGCCCCAGTGATGGGAGCAGACAGCAATGAATCTGAGATGCAGGCAAGAAGCTGAGCTTCCTCTCATGCTCCCTGCCAGGGAAGGCTCTCTCAGAAGAAAAAGTGATATTTTACTCATTTCCTTCAGTCTGCCATCTCAGCCTCATCTGGGACCATCCTCAGAGGGCTGCAATCTGTGTGCAACTGTCTCTGACAGAAACACAGACGTTGTGACAACTAATGAAGCCTGGATGATTAACAGGAGGAAAAAGAAATAATAAAAATGGAGAATAAATGATTAGCATTTGGGCACATAAAAAAAAAAAAAAAGAATGTCTAAAAATGCTGTTTGTTTCCACAGAGAGAAGATTCACTTTTGCTTCTGGAAATAATTTTAATGTAATACATGTTCACTTATGTATTTAGTACTACAACAGTAGTCTGATGATAAATATATTTAATGTTATCCAGGGGTTTCATTTGTGAGCGTTTTGATATTTTTCTCGGAATCAGCATGGTATAGTAAACAGAACTGAATGTTGCCTTTTGTACTTCAAAAGGAGACATGTCTTAGGTGAAACCTATTTGCAGAGGAAGGAGACAAAAGGTACATTTAGGGATTTCTTTACTATCAATACTATCTATCAAGAGCTCAGGCATGACTTATTTATTTATTTATTTATTTTGCTACTAAAAAGTAACAAAAACTGAAAACAAAACAGACCACCATGACCTAGTGGAAATCCCACAGTATCTCTATTCCCCCATCTCCTAGGTGGGAGTTCCTTCCCATTAGGACTGGATTAGGCTAAATCAGATTATGCACCACAGACAATGGTGTCCATGAGCTGCAGACAAAAGGTGTCAGGGCAAATCTCTTCTCAGACCCACCAATATTATGCTGGAGCAAGGCGGTGAAATGAGCCCCCTGCATCAATGCTTCTCTTGTGGACAGGCATTAGTGCAACAGATCAGAGGTGGGCTGGGCATATTTAACATTAATGGAAATAAATCTTTGCCCACACAGCTACGTCTATACCAGGTGAAAATGAAGTGCAAGCTGTAAACCAACTGGCATCTTTCCCTTATTATTTTCCCTTATTTTATCCTCTGTTGGACAGTTGCAGAGCAAAGGCACGAGGCAAATGCATCTTTTGGGCAAAGCACTGACTTTGGGAACCCTCACCAAGGCTCTCCCCAGCCCTTCAAGTCTCAGCAGTCTCTGAGAGAGCCCAACCTCTTGAATCAAGAGAGGAGGTGAATTAAACTCTCATCAGATTGGAGCTGGCATTATAATGCAAGAATATGCAGTTGCAACCCAGCAAGAGCAATGCAGGTGAAACATTTCCAATTCCCTTCTGCTAAGGGCTCTGTAGGGTTTGGGGATGTTACAGCAGTTCAAAACACCCGTTACTAGTGAGTTTCCATGTATCTGCGTGTATGAGTGTGCGTGTGTGTGTGCTGTGAGCATAGAGTCTACTCTGAAGTATTTCAGATAATTACAGAAAGCATGAAGCTTTGCAGGCCTTGCTGAATTAAAGCTTCTAATTTATTTATTTCCCTAAAGCATAGCTGTGGGTTTAGTAATTTATACTTTTACGTTAAGATGCTCATGAACTATCTGGGCTGTTTTTTATGACTAAAGCCATTTACATACGTTTCTCCACTTTAAATCTTGCTCTCCCTAACAAATGACACTCCCAAGCAGGCCTGGGCTACCAGATTAAGCAGTTAAAAAACGTGGTCTTTCACAGTGCCTTGAATAGAAAATCCCACTTGATTTAAACACTTAGAGTTGCCTAGTCATAACTGTTAGCATAAGAGTAGTTACTTTAGACTAACTCTCCCTTTAAAAAAAGATGCCCTTATTAAGGCATTTGGAAGTCAGTATCGTCTTTTCTGTCCTCTCCCAGGTTTTGCACAGCTGAATCCTGACCTACATTACGTCATCTAGCCCTGAATTTGATGTAAGCCAGGGTGAAATCTGGCTTATCGCCTGTCTTATAAACAAGGAAGGCCTGAGAGCATTTTTCCCTTTCCAACCTGGGCTGATGTCACTGTATTGCGGATGTATTACTCATATCAAAGACTTTCGCAAAGAAACTTGAAGTCCGGGAAAACTACAAGGCAAAGTCTGGTGGCCACTGAAGCCCTCCAGCTGGGCAGTGCCAGCAAAGTACACCAGTAGAAGGGACGCTATCACTATTGCTATCACCACTATCACTATCACCACAACAATGCAAACAAAATCAAGTGGAAAATTGTCCTTCCACTTGGAATCTTGTATTTTTTTTTTTAATCATGTCAACACAATCTATTGCAGCAGAGCAGCTTTATATATTCCAGCCCAAATGGGATTCATATACAATAAGTTTTTATTAACAGATACTGGATTTTAGTTGCCTCTGGAATAATGATGAGATATCTAAGTCTTCAGTGGAAAAATGGCTCGGGTAACTTGGCAAAATTTTCTTCACTCCTCTTCTGAGATGTGAGAGGGTGAATAGACCATAGAGGAGACAGCATGGTTCTGCAAACCCTGAGGACATATTCCTGAAGCTCCCCAGACTCAAAAGCCTGATGGACAATGAGTTTTCAGAGGTTTCTGAGTAAGCATTTTCACAGTTATTGCTCAGAAGTTTGTCTCAGGCTGACAAAACCAGAGTCAAGAGTATTTAGCAGGGTGTGCAGCACAGGCTGGCTAATTCTCTTCTCCCAGTGTTCAGAGACTAGCAACTGATGGCAAATGCTTTGGCCATCAATAAGAGAACACCATGGTAATGACCATGTAGAGAAATGAGCTCACCTAGAGTTTTCTCCTCTACGTATAGCTGGAGACATGCAGGGAAAGAGAGGGAAACTCAACACTGACAATCTTCTGATATTCTCCAGGTAGCCTACACGGGGCTCTTGAAGAAGGATATGTAGTAATACCAAAATAGAAAATACCAAGTTGCACTTCTAGCTATTTTTCCAAGGAAGGTTGTTCCAATGATCTCGGTTCTACCTCAGTTCTTGCAGACTGTGATGGTAGGGGTTGGCAGAGGCAAAGGGACCCCATCCAAGAAGCAAAATGAAGGCTGCTGCCAGCCCTGTGCCTCCTCTCCAGGTTGGTGTTGGACCTTCTGAGCTCCTCTTAGCAGCCCCACCACCACTCTTGCTGAGCCAGGATGTTCTCCCAGTTTGGACATTCCCACCATGGGAGTCCTCTGTGCATTAACACAAAATACTGCACTTTGGCAAACAAAACACGACATTTTTTCATCGTTATTTACTCTGAAACATGTGCTTTGGCAAGTACGTCCTCTTTATTTCTGTGAAATCTAACTGCAGAAACAGAAGATAAATGAGTACGTCTAATACTGCAGCACAGTTTAGAAATATGGTCCAGTCTACCCTCTGATGCAAGACTGAACCATTTTTAAACCTTGGCTACAGATGCTATATTGTCAAATACACATACACAAAGGTCATTAGAGTTCAGTCTGATTTTTTTTTTTCTCTTTTCTAGCAGTTGTTTAGGTTGGTGCTTGAAAAAAGAAGTATTGCTTTATACTTAAATTATATTTACATTTGAGCATAGAAATTCAGCAATAAGTGGGGATTGAGAATGTATTTTCTTCATTGCAAACCGTCAATAGCTTTTCCAAACACTTATGTCTTGGAAAATTTCCACACATTTTCCCTTGTGATCAAGGGACACTTATCTTAAACCACTTAGGAGCTGACATGACTGCACGGTAGGTCACTCTGACCACATAAGAATATTTTGCCAGGAAGAACAAGGGGGAGGATTACAACCCCGTCTTTGGTACTTCTGACATGCCGGCCCCGAAAGCTGTGACTGTATAATCTGTCCTTCGGTGTATTTACATTCCTGAGAATACAGGCAGTTTAAGATGTGTTTTAAGCAATTTGTTGGAATCTAGTAAAAGGAAAATCTTTTAGGGGATCTGCTGTGGTAATGCCTATTTATTTTATCTTCCATTTTCTTTTTTTTTTCCTGCAGAACTGTGAATGTTGATGTTGAGGCAGAAACAGGACTTTATTGGGACTGCCAGTGGTTCAAAGATGAAAAGGCCTCGAGAGGCTTTTTGTTATCAAATTCCACTTATCCTCCCTGTTGTAACTTTCATCACAGCTGAAGGGATGCTGCCAAAATCTGACTTCACTTCGGAAAGTGCCAGGATACGCCACTGGAGTTGCAACAGAAGAAAGACAGTGGGAAGGAGACAGAATTCAATTCAGGTTATGGCCTGCGAGAGGGGGAAAAGGCTGAGGGAGAAAGAAAATGGTTTTGTGTTGCTTCCCAAATCTTCCCCGAAGTTGCTAGGCAGGTGGGGGAGATGAGGCCAGCCCCACTTGCCTGCTCTGCTCTTTCCAACAATCACTTTTCAGACCGTTTTTTCCTGCCACATGGGGAAACGGGAAAGGTTCCCACCAAAGCACTGCAAAGCCTGCCCCGTGATTCCTGCCAGCTCTCTCCTCTTCTATACAGCCGGCAAGAAACTGCAGCCAAACTGCAGCTGAGCAGGTAGCGTGCCGCTCTCTTCTTCCTGAGCATCTCCCAACTGCACAACTGTTATTTTTCTTTGACCCACTTTCAGCCCTGTGATTATGTGTTGCTGTCTGGAGAACAAGGTTTTAGGGCAAAGGACCACTCTTTGACATATGTTTGCTGAGTTTGTAGAGCAATGAGAATCCCCAGATCTATATTTGTCTGTAACTACATTAATGATGCTAATAATATCTGCATGACGAGTTGTATCAGCCAACATAATCAGGAGGGACAAGAAAGCTTTGTTGCCTCCATTCTTAGACCCTTTAGAAGTTCTTGCTTTCCAAGTGGAGATGCTCACCTTTATCTCAAAGTCCAACTCTTCTTGTTCTGCACTTCAGTTTTGCCCAAAATGGAATATCTCATCTTAATAATCATTTTGGAAAATTGTGCCTTATTGTGTTTGTTCCTCACTTTTCCCTGATTGTGCAATGGAAGTAAGACTGCTTACTCCACCGTGATTTCTCAAAGTACATTCAGCGACTCCAGCACAAGCCATTTGTGAACAAAACGTAATTAATATTGTGAAATGATGAGCAATCAACATGTGCCAGCTGTTACCACATGAACTTCTGTCCTTGGGCCCCTTTATACTTATAGGCCTCTCATGTTAAAGGCAAGGTGAATTCAGAGAGCAATAATGATTGAATTACACATGGGTGAAAACTCATATTTGAGAACAGAGAGACATTTTAGATTAGTCCCGCAGAAGATGCTGGTAACCAGAAGTAACAACGTCCACATATGGAGTTACTCAGGGACAGTTATCTCTGGAACAACTATTCCTTCAGGCCTCTTCTGGAGTAACTTCTTGTCTACAGTGGGAGAAGGCCCTGAATAATGTAAGGCACCACAGTGTGGAGCATCCTGGAAACAGCTATCTTGCAGGCATCGAGCCAGTAGTGTACACTGCACTGCTTCACTTCACTGAAAATAAAGCTATTCTTCTTTTCTACTGAAAAATTATAAGCAATTTTGGTAAAAGATTTTCTGCTTCTATTTTGGATTTATTAATAGAGATAGAACCAGTGTGCATCTCAGCTGGTGTCCTCCTTCAGAGGTGACCAGCAGCAGATGCCAACAGAAGCCTCAATCAGATGAGCACGATGCTTCCTACAATATGTGCCCAAATGTCAGGGCCTAGCTCAGGGAATTCGTTGGGGATGGATTTGCATCTTTGTGTTTACTTGCTCTTGAAGCTCTTTCACAGCTTTGTCTAAACATATTTGAATAAATTTAAATTTTTGACATAACACCCTGTGGAGGTGAATTCTACTATGAGGCTATGGGTGGTGGGAAAAGGTACTCAGTTTGGTGTGCTGTAGGATGTCTCTGTGATCATCTCATTTGATGTCCTCTGATTTGTGAGTGGTGGAAACAATGGTAATCCCTGGCTTTACAAATGGTAAAAAATGCCCACTTGACTCCTCAAACCACTCAGGTAACCTGGACCTTTCTCATTACCTCCACTGGGAGGTGGATTAGGCTCTAAAGCTGGTCACCTCCAGATTCCTGCAGCCTTTAGAGGGATAGCTCCACCTTGCAGCAAGATGCAGGACTCAGCTGCAAATTGCCTCAGTCCTGCTCTGACCCACACCTACCCAAATCACTGGGAATCTTCCACTGCACCTCAAAGCAAGATCTTACCTGCTCACATAATTTTTCCTGCTGACTACATGAAATTAGCCCTACAATTTGTTAAGGGACACAAATAATATTTAAGATGTATTTGGTGTCCAGAGTGGGTTCCTATATCATGCTTTCTTCTTGCTCCCTGCTCCAAAATTTACATGCTGCTTTGTATTTCAGTACCTGACAGACTGGGCTTGTTTAAGGCAGCAAACAGAGATAGACAAAAATCTTTTGTTTGGTACTTATCTTCTTCGCTCTTGCTCTCTCCCCACCCCTCTCTCTTGCTTGAGATAAGTTCACAGGTAATCATGAGAGATGTCAGATAAACTTACTGTGAATTGAAATCCTGCAAGGCTGAAAGGAGCACTGTTGTTCCTTTCTCAAGCAGGTATTGTATTTATACAGTCAAGCGAACAGGCGATGCGAAAAAGATAATTCCCTCAAAACTTGGCCCATAAACTCCCCAGAGAAAGATAAATGATATTTAATTTTTTTTTCTCTTGATGTAGAGCCAACAAAGTGTCCCTGGTGCAAAGCAGCTATTATGATCTGCTTCCCTGGCTTTGCAAATGTTCAGGTTTGGGTCTGAAGCACCAGGCATCCCCCGTGCCCCGGCTGGCTGCTGAAATCTCTGCTGAGAGCAGTGCTGGCAGCCCCGGGCAGCTCATGAAGTTACCCAACTCTGTCTGCTGCTTGTGCACGGTTTATCTTAAAAAAATGGGAGCCCAGCTTTAATGCTGATGGTGTAACCCACTTTGGGAATAAAATCTGTCCCCATGTCCTGTATAATGATTAGGCTGCTGTTCAGGGCACAAACAGTTAAGGGAACATTGCTAATGTGACACTAATCAATCTCTCTCTAAATAGTCCTGTTCCATTGAAACTGATGAGTTTTGATATCATTGTTTGGGGTAAAACAATGATCTCTGGTTAATTAGTAATATGTGTACTTTTCCTACAGCTCAGTTTTGAGCGGGGAGGAATTATTTAAACTGGAGACAGCCCGGTGAAGGACAGCCCTGCCCCATGGGAACCCGGGGGTACTCCAGCGATGTCTGTGTGCTTGTGATGGATGAATAGTGACACGGTGTTACTGCACCTCCGCGCTCCCCGTGCCAGCACCACGCCGTACCAGTCACCATACGCAGGGACACAGCACAGAGCAAAGCGGCTCTGCACAGATCTACAAAAGCAAGAAATGCCGGGGGGGGGAAAGCAAAACTCACAACAGATTTGCATTTGCCCTGAGCTGGCATTTGCTCCAGCTTTGCTGCACTAAATCGCAGCGCTGCAGTTTCCAGCCCCATGGCTTCGCATGTTACCCTGTCATTTCTTAAGGGCCTTGTCTGCCTTTCAGCAGCCACTTATTTTGCAATGCCAAATCCCCATAAGCCTCACTAAAGTCAGAGCAGGTTCTTCCAGCATAAAACGATGCCAAGTCTCTACTCAGCTGCAGATGAGAATTCAGACCCTTACTGATTTTATGCTGTCCTTATCTCAGCACTTCTCCAAGTGTTGGAAAAAGCTGCAGGCTGTTGTTCTCTGACAGTAGATGGAGATACCGCCCGGCCAAATACCGTCCCCAACCTGCATTACAGAGCTTCCCTGAGATCAAAGCAAACAGCAGGCCTGAAAATATAAATATGGTCATATTAAGGAATGTGAGGAAAGAGTGCCGAGATCAGATCTGTGCCTGCGCCGAGCATCGAACCCTCCCCAGTCCATGAGCAGGGGCTGCATGGGCTGAGCGTGGTCCCCTCCTTCAGCTCTGGAAGCAGCAATTTCAATTCACATGAGCTGTTGGTAATTGCCAGCACTTAGGTGTGTTATCACACCACACCACTTTACTTAGGATGCCTTTCCACAGCTCAGCAAGACGACAGGGTATAAACGGGATGTCTATTTTTGATCCTGCTGGAAAATCCCATCACTATTCCTGGCCAACCCAGTGTGATGGAGAGAGGGATAAAATGCTCAGATTGGGCTGGAATACAGCCAGATAGCAATTACTCGCAAATCTTCAGCAGCCAAATCAGAGGTGCAAAGCACCTGCCCATCCCATCAAAGCCTATATGAGTGAGAGTTCTTCTGGCACCTCCACAGGGGCAGATCTTCCTCCTAATCCTCCTCCTCCTTCTCCTTCCCTGATTGACCCTAGCCTAAATCTACCCCCGGATTTACAACACCAACCCGTTTCCTGTCAAGCATTTCTCATTGAGAGGCTGTCCCTTCTCTTTCTGACCACACTTGAGACATGGAGCTAACGCAGAGCAAAGGATCCTATTTATAAGACATTGTGTCATATGGCTAATTTAAAAATGGCATTTGTCAGCGAAAGCAGTAATTTTTTCAAGATGCTCACACAGGGCTCCTGAGCAAATAGCCCTGAAAATTACGGGCTTCCAAACCTCACTTTGACTGAGGCAACTTGACAATGTTCGCTGCAGCCCTATTCGGGGGACGGCTATTTAAACACAGCGAGCAGTTCATTATCGCTTGTGTTCCCCTGCTAAGCTTTCACTCTTTTGTGAGCCCACTCCGAGCCCCGGATTGAGACATTCCCAAACCTGCCAGGTCACTCCTGCTTATCTTTCCCATGACACCCCGTCTCCCGACGCGCCCGGGGCCGTGTCCGTGCATCTCCGCACAAAGCCATTCTTCTGGCTGAGCGGAGGCATTTCCCCCGCGCCTCCGTCCGGACGGCGTGACAGATGCGGGGTGCCTTTCCCAAGCAGAAAAGGAGATGGGAGGCCACGGGCTGAATGTTAAACGCACCGCACAGCAAACATAAAAAAAAAAAAAAAAAAAAAAGAAACAGGCCAAACGTGCTCGCAGAGATTTATACCGACGCTCGCTCCCTCCGGCTGGTCAAAGGTTCAGGCGCTCGTAATAGTTTCCCAAGGCACGTTGACTGTGACAGATTTTAAAGAAGAGGCTCCTGAGGGAGTTCAAGGCGTAAATTGAATTACAGTATGCTTGGCCTGAGGTTGCTAGGGAGATCCCAGAGCCGGGGAGAGAGTTCCTGGTGATTTTTCACTGTTGTTTGAAGGCTGTGAAATTAAGGCTTTGTGCGGCACTCACCGAGACAAGGCTGTGGTTGGCGTTCGCCATTGACATCAAGCCGGATTGGCCCGGAGGGGGCAAATTTTTATGAAACAGATATGACAAAGCAGCATTTTGATCAAGTCATCGCTCTCTTTTAAAAGAGCCACGCTCGCTTTTATTCGCCCCGAGTGATGGACATTCCCATTTAACCACTTTCAGAGGCCTGAACCTCAGCCCGGGAGCCCAGGCTGCCCTGAGCTTTGGGAGGAGCACAGAGTGGGATCAGGGCTTCGCAGCTAATCCTTTTACCCCTGGCGTGAGTGGAAGGAAATTCCCAGCACTGAATCCACCAGACTCCAAGAGAATTCAAGTCTGGGGCTGTGCTTTGCGGCTAGAGCCTGATTACAGCTTGTCTCACGGGCTCGGACTTCTGCAGCGTGCAGGAGGGAGGGATTTCAGCTCTTTTGGGGAGCTCTCAAAGAGGGCAGGGATTTTTTTCTCTAAGGGAACCAGTGTCCTAGCAATGGCAAATGGATCTTTTGAGAGAAGATCATGCAAAACCACCTGCAATTCCTCTCCCCCATTTGTGCCCAGCCACATGTGACCAGGACCTGGACTTAGATAAGCTTTCTCTGGGCCATGCCCTCCCTGGACAGCGCTGCCAACAGCATTATCAAGGGTCAGCTGTGACCAGAGGCAACCTAGGCAGTGGCCAAATGTGGCCCAGGGCAGCCTGACCTCCATGTCACCCTTCCCAGGGGTGCACTGCTGAAACAATCCCAAGTGGTCTGGAGGTACCGGGTCACTACTACATTTGGGTAGCTCCTCCCAACAGCAGGACAATCACAGTTCCATCGCAGGAATGCAGAAATATATCTCAGTGCTACAGAAAAGCCAGAAATAAAACCACATGAAGGAAACAGTACAGTCTCTTAGGGTTCCAGAGAGATGGGCTCATGTCCTAACTCTGCCATGGGTTTCCTACATGAATACATCTTGGTCATGAGATGTATGTGCAGTGCTGAATAACACAGAGTGGTGGGACAACCTGAAGCCCTGGACAACTGATCAAGGCCTCATGGTTTGCATGTTCCTTGGCTTGTGGACCAAGCTAGCCTTGGTTCTGGGGACACTAGGGTCTATCCAACCTGGCCTCAGGACCAGGGACCATTACCCACAGCTGTTCTTCAGGCAATATAAGCAGAGGCACACACTGAAAACATGATTGCTAAAGCAGCTGTGAATATGATTCTTCCTCGTGCTTTCTGGCTACAGGAGCATTGAAATAGAGCTGGTCTGGGTATGGTTAGCTTGTGCTCTGAGAGGCATGTCCTGGCCATCTTTAGTGGTGCCAGTGGAGATGTATTCTCCTTTTACTCTAATTCTGCCTTTCAAAAAGGTATTTTTAAAATACACCGGGATAGGAAATGTTGTGTGGGTTCAAATCCTTGTAGCGCATTTGTCCATGTCACAAGACAATGAGATGTTTTTCAATGAGGTCCTTTTTCCCACTTGCAATTTCCAGTTGATGCCAGTTTGTGTAGGGAATTGTTCATGCGAGCTTTTGAAAGTAAGAAGCAGAGGATGATAACACTTTCAAAGCAAGTGCTGAAGGCAAGTCAAGACTAAATAATGAGTGAGGAGTCTACATCCTAGAGCCACTCTCAGCAAGCCCAGACTAGCTCCAATGTCCTGTGCTCAACAGGACAAGCTCAGCCCTACGTGCAATGCTGAAAGCTGCCGAATCAAGGATGCCAACACCCTCTTTTGTGACCATCTCACAAGAAGGCAGGAAAAGACAAAAAGGATAAAACTGAGATAGGAGAGAGCTGAGCTGCTGCAGCCCTGGCTGGAGGGATGCTAATTGGAGAAGGAGTCGCTGTCTCACAGACGTCAGCCTTGCCCTTTCCCTTCCCTTCCCAGCCAACTCTGTGTCTCCTCACAGCCCTGGGCTGCTCCTGGTGCCAACAAGGCCCTTTCTCAGCTCTGTGACACCAAAAAAGTTTTTTTCCTGGAGAAGAGACAGCTTAACTGGGAAAAAGTCCCTGCCTGAGGCTAAGGGAGCTGCCACCCAGATCAGCACCTGGAGTGGCCATGTTGAGGCAACTCCCAGTAGTACAACCCTCATGAATATCCAATTAGTTATAATATTGGATAACTAATGTTGGATCTCAAGCAAGCACCAGTCAGCAGAGCAGGTAGCAGCTGCAAACCCTGGGAAGAACCTTGGGATGAAAATAAAACAACAAGATTAAAGAAAACAAAGCATACACTTCATAAATCCTAGGTAGATAATTTATTTGTTCACATTTCTCCTAAATCAATTTTCCACTGTCCTCTAACCTCATCCCAAAGGGGCTGATGCTGCCCCTTAACTAATAAGCTGTTTGGTATGTTGTTTGGCATTTGAGGCCCAGCTGGACTTGTCTTCATTTTATAAAATAGTGGCAGGACTTTGCAAACACAAAAACTCTCCCAGAATGAGCCCCTCTGTTTCTTGTGTTGGCCTATTGTGCACAAAAAATGTCATCTGTGTTTGCCGAGAGGAGCAAAGTGAGTAAAATACAGACGGGGAGAGCTTGCTTTCACTCCAGCGCTGTTTGCTCTGAAACGTTATGCAATGCAGATTAATGTCTTAGCACAAGAGAGTTCAGATGAGGTCCTGAGATTAGGCCGTCTCCAAAGAAAAAAAAAAAAAGAGAGAGAGAGAGAAGATGGAGAAACCCCTGAAAAAAAAAAAATATATATATATATATATATATATATATATATAAATCTGCATTTTGAGAATTTGAAACTGCAGCAAAAGGAAGGAGGCTTACTGGAAATATAGGAAGCAGACAGGGAACCCTCCCAGGGTAAAACCACACCATATCAGCAGCACACAGGGAAGCTGCCCACTGCAAGCCATGGGGAAAAAAAATGAGTTCAGGTTTCAGGCAGGTCTTGGTTTGCCAACACCACTGGTCCTGCTCAGTTCCTTGGTGCAAAGCATTAGTAATGCTGACAGGATTAGATTGATATGATAACACAGTGATTGATCTCAGCCATAAATTCAGACTCTCCTGCTGAGCTCATTACCCAGAGTTTGTTGAGGACTCACCCTCAAGCAGGTGAATCTCTTCTCTCTTCAAATTCGAATTTTAATAAAACAAACAACAACAACAACAACTAACCAAATAGTAGGTATATAACAGCACGGTCCATTTCTGCTTTTCAAGATCTGGATTCATACACGGATTTCTTGCCAGGACAGGTTAATCTGGGTAACATGAACTTCACCAGTAAAGCTATAATCAGCCTTTGACTTTTCATCTTTCCATGGCCAAATATATATATATACCCGCCACCTGCTGCAGCACCTCTGTCAGCATCAAACTGTGTTCAGCAGTCCTGTGTTCCCTCTGACCTCGCTCCTGAGCCATGTCCTCCCAGTGGTAATGTCAGCAGCAGAAGACCTCAAAATTAAGTGTACTTACACCTGTAAGTTGTTAAAAAAATATGTTAAATACACATTTGTCTAATTTGGAGGCACAGAATAGCCGTAGATAACATTCATTTCATTCTAAGTAGTCATGTTTGGATAGGAAAATGTATATATAAATGCACATATACACATACACGCATACTTGTGTGAGTATGTTTAAAGTTTTTAAACCCCTAGGCCATGCTCACTGTCTAGCAAGACCTTGCCAATGAAGGCCATGCACTGATCCCCACATCGTGACCTGTGCTGATTGCTCAACCAACCTGCACATCGACTGCCTCGATGGGAATTGCTGCCCACCTAGCTGCTACACACCTCCAACAAACCTCTGCTCTTGCCCTCTCCATCACACAGGTGCCGATAGTCGGGAGAGATCGCGTTACAGGCTGCTGGGAATGACTTGTGGGCCAGTTTCTCAGTGCTGCGGCGCAGATCTCTCTCTCTCTTTCATTAATTTCTAATCTACCCCTTCCTCCCCCCAGTATAGCTCTGGATGGGGAAACATCTGCAAATAAAGAAGGGATTTTCTCTTGTCTCTTAAAGGACAACTCCTCATTCATTTTCTCTTTCTGTTGTTATTGTTGTAGTTAAATGAGACAGATGCCACGCATTTATGTTTTCTGATCCAAAGCACATCGGGGACAATGAAATGATTTCCATTCATTCCTGGGCATGCTGGATGAGTGGTAATACCTACAAACTCCATCCCCTTATACACTCTTTAATTTGCACCATTTCTTTCTCCAAATCACCAAGCTGCTTCGTGCAAAAATGTACAATATACAATGCACCAGGGTTTATATATTTTCCCTTTGGGCATCTTTATCTAGAATTTAAAAGCTATTATTAACTAATGCTTTCACTTTATTTTATGTTTGAAAATAATGAAGTCTAATAAAATTGATTTCCAAAGCCATTCAGTCTTAAATGTAATAAATCAAACAGTAGAGAGATACTGTGTATACGCGGCTGTGCATGCCAAATGCAACTAAAATTAATACCTTGATGTTTTATGCTATTATAAAATGCAGTCTTATATTTTTAAATGCCAACTTGATTAATTGGCCCCCTAACTGAACATTCAGGCTGCTACTGTGATGAAATGTTTTGTGGGTTGACTGGGCGATGGATTATTATAAAGAGCTGAGTAATTAACTCTATTGGGAGCCTTATATCAGGGCACTGGGGTTTAATCTAAGCCACGATGACTTGGTGCTAGAAACGAACCAAATGCCAGGGGGTGAATTCATACCTGGTGTAATCCGCTACGCAGCCCAGTGGAGTTACTACAGGAAGGGGTTTCGCTTGTGCCTTATGTTTTCACTTGCACAGTGCAAAGGTTAAGGCTGTCAGGCCAGGCTGTTTGAAAGCTTAACGATTAAGTATTATCACTGTTTGCAGAGTCATTCTTCAAATGTTTTCAACATAAAACAGTTTATTAAATGTCTGGCAGGCTTTCACTGAGAAATGCCAAGATGTGATTTCTCCCCTTCCTCACTGTTATTTTAATACTTAGCACCTCTGCAAGCAGGGGGGGGAGAAAGAGAAGAAAATCCCCAGAATAAATGAAGCCTGATACTCCGAAACTCAGCTACTCAAAACTCCAGGAGGGATCCAGGCCCCACCAGAGGTTTGGAAAGGCTGTGTGGAACAGGGGCCACCAGTTGGTGCCACCAGATCCCACACACTACATCTTCCCTCTAGGCACTGTCTGGTGACCACCCGTGAGCTCTCCACCAGGGGATTCATCCTTTGCATTATATTTCTTTGCACTTCAATGATTTTTTCCAACTTCATAGCAACTCATTCTACACAGGCTGAGGTGCTGTAGGCTTTGTCTGTGCAATGCATTGCTCTGTCTGGCCTCACCTTGGGCTGAGGGCACTGATGTGCCCAGCCTTGCCCCTCCACACTGTTGGAACTGCTGAGTTTTGTACAAGTCATTGCCAAAAAAGCCTTTTACAACAAGCCATGCTAGGACTCCCAACCCTTTAAAATGCCATCAAGCTGAATACAGGCTGATTCTGGACCATCATTAGATCAGAAAAATGCTTCTTTTTCCCAAACAACAAGCATTTAAAGTTTTGAGAACTCATGAAAGAGAGATACCTCTGTATCCCTAAATAATTCCCAGGAGGAACACCATAATGGAGAAAAGTGGAAAAAAATAAAGAAATAAGGAAATAAAAGAAAAGAAATAAAAGAAATGAAAGGAAATCTATTTTACAGATTCTGTTTTATTGTGTTGGAGCAGCATTTCTCCTAAAAAAATGAAAAGGCAGTGTATCACAGAGAGATGAAAAGTTTATATCTGCAACAGTGGGCCAAAAATGTTGGCCAAAAACTAAGCCTAAGACAAGACATTGCTCCTAGCCTTGGAGGTAACAGGGGCAGAATAGAAAGTAAGAGATCTGGGAGAACTGCAGAAGTGGGAGCACCTGCTCAGGCATCTCCCCATGTGCTCACATGGAGGCATTACGCTGTACAAAAGAGCAGAACAAGGCAGATGTTGGCTTTCCCTATCTGCAGCTCCACTGCTGTGTCACTGTTTTGGGCATCTGCTGTTTTTTGATCGTTTTTGGTGTCTTCGATTTCATGAAGCTGTAAACGGTTAGATCACTGGAAGATGCTGACATCTGAGTTGTTGCTGCTCACTGCATGCTAGCACTGTTTAAGAAGCAATGGTTTTCTGATGATACAGATATTTGCTAGTCTTCCAGGAATTTGATCAGGCTTCTAGCATTCAGACAGCATAACGAGCATCCTTCCTTTCTTAATGTGGAGTAAGAGCTAATATGTTTTTTCATTGTATAGGTCCTCCAATGACTTTTTTGAGGCTCCTCCATCAACCAGAGTAAAGTGAGATCCCTAGAGGCACAAATACTTATTCTTTTTTAAAAAGTAGTTTGGAAATTAGGAAAAAGTCTTTAAGACACTGGGAAAAAAAAAAAAAAAGTGGGAATGAACAACATACACTTCTAGATTTATTATGTAGTTTTCTCTAGTTTTCTCTTCTATATGGAGAACTGTGCAGCACCTAGACATGCTTCGGAGAGCATTTTGTTTAAACGGGGCTAATTCTTTAAATTAAAGTCCAAATCACAAAACTTTACATGACAGCTTGCTGCAGAAGATAAAACAACTTTATAGTAGACAGTAAATAGACAAAAATTCTTCTAGGCTAACTTCCCTTATCATTTCCTCTCACATAAAGTACAAGTTAAATGCTGGATGCTACAAGAAGAAGAGATCACTGCTATGCTTATTGAGAACACAGAGAATTGGACCCATTTTTATGACTTGGTTGGGTCTGCCTGAGACAGATTAAAGGAAACAGTGGCTTCTCATCCAACTGCCTATGCTTGTTAAAGGAGAGACGCTTCATCTTTTCTCAGAAGCATACATCATTAGGGAAATACTGTCTTGCTGCATTAGAATAAATTACTATGCAATAAACATATGTTACAGCTAATTGTGCTGGAGAAGAAAAAAGCATTTACTGCCTTCCATGGTTAACATGTGAAAGTGGATAAGGAAAATGAATTAGCTTCAGAGACACTCTTTCAGTTAAGTCCTGAAAGCATAGATATCCATGTTGGGCTTACAAAAGGGAGAGATTTAATTTAGAGGGATTATTTAATAAATCTACCAATGCCTGAGCAGGAAGAAATAATGAAGAGGACAGGATATTTGATTACTTGTTTAGCCTGCATGATGCCGGCTAGAATACGTTTAAAATGTCCAGTCCCTGGGGTCAAAATCTATTGACACACTCTGATGTAGGTCAGAAATAAGCCTGGGGGGCCTTGGTCTGTCTCCTAATTTACATGAGCATAAACAAAAACAAGCACCCAGCCTGCGGACCTCGATCACTTCGTCTGTCAGAGCTATGGCCACATCCCCTGGGATCGCAGGGGGGTGGGCAGCATCCCATCCCGTCTCCACTGCAAATGAGAGGAGAACACAAAGCACACAGGAGGGCCTAAACCCACAGCCCTAACAGCTGCTGGGCTCCCTCTATGGTGGGGGCATCTGCAGAGATGATATAAATCATAATTCAATTCGAGTCACCATAGGTAATGCTGGGAGCTGAGAAAAAAAATGGTTTTTTTTCACTATGTAGGGAGAGGAAGAGGGAGCATATAGCAACTCCCTCACCTTACAACAGGTCACACAGGTAACTTACCTTGGACACGGAGGTTATTCATGAAAATGTTCCTCAGATGGCAGGACAGAGAGTGACAAAGGGCTCTTCCTACCTCTCCTTTGACATTGGTCACACCTTTGATAAAAAGAAGATATCCAGGAAGGTTTATTTAAGAAATTTAGAAGGGAACACTGACAGCACCAGAAACCCAAAGTATTGCAAATTTTGCTATCTAGAAAGGCCCAGATCCCATGCCCAAATCCCCAGGAAGTTATACACTGCCTATTTATGTGGCCACCAGACTCTTGCTGTCTAAGCAACATCCAGCCGTCCTCTAGTAACAACCTGACCTCTCAGACGGCTCCAGGCACATGAAAACTTATTGGTGCAAATATCTCTCATTCTGCCCTCCAAATATGCAAATACACAATATGCAAATATAAAATAAGCATTGATATGCATATATACAAATTATCGTGAGTAGCAAGCACAGATGTTTGACTTATAAATTTGTAGGTTGATATTATTATCTCACGTCAAACAAGCATAATTTGGAACTGGAAGGGGGTCAGACCCTCATCTCAAATAGGGGGGTTATTTTTGGAGTAGCTCTTGTGAAACCAAGGGCTTTTCTCATATTTATACTGATGTAGTCAAGATCGGAGTCTGACCCACCCAAAGTGTGGAGGAGTCAAAATGAGATGCAAATCTCAGCTCGTTTCGCTGCTGTGCGGATGCAAATGCCATGCGTTGCGTTACGCGAAGCAAAAGCCCTCAGACATCGTCCTGCCTCATCAGGGCTCCATACAAGCACAGGATTTACAAGCTGCACATTAAGTCCTGTGATTTACGCCACTTTCCCTGCTCAGGTTTGCTGCCTTCCCCCAGGGATCGTATCTGTGTCCGTAGGCACTTTCTAAGATTTCTATGCACTACCTCAACAAAATGCCCTTTCATGAGGCCAAATACATCACATCAAGAAAGCAACTGTATTTCTTTCATACCGTTTTAAGCTCAGTCAGCTATATGAGGTGCAGTAGCCAGCTTCTGGAAAATAGTTAGCCCTGTGTGTACCTGAGTGATAAATTAATACAGAAATGGTCTATTAATTTAGAAATACCCCTGTTTCTGTTGCTGGCCACAGGGCACTGTGACCAGCATACAAGGCCCCTCTGTTTGTGTCACCACATTACATGCAAAGCAGGTAAACTCTGACGCAGATGCTTTTCCAGCAACATAGCAGCCTTTTCCCTTTATTTCACTCCTGAAGTGGTATTTTGGTGTGATCAAAATGAGTTCAGAACAGGTCCAGTGGAAAAAAATAAATAAAAAAATCAAGGAAATACCAAACCCCCTATAGTTTCTTCTGTTTTTTCTTGCAACAATACACTTGAGATGGGCCTAGAAATGAATTGGCATCTCCAGGAGAACTGCACCTCACTTGAATTTTCTTGGACAGAAGTTATACAGCTGGCAGAGGAAAGAGCCTAGATCATATTTTCACTCACCACTGCATGTAAGCAGGAGTTTATTGGCATGTGTGCTGCAGTTCAGGATTTGTTGAACTGCACAAGGCATCCAGGAAGTTAGCACCATCATATAGATAGCTAGGACTCTGATGCTTTGAAACATTGTGTGTTATATGGCACGCATGAGGATGGAGAAGTCTCAGAAAAATAAAATAAAATAATTAAAAAAAAATAAAAATAAGATATTCAGCAGAGAAGAGGATAAAAAACATTTTCCTATCTCGAAGCACTGACACAACTTTTCATTGAAAGAGAGAGAGATAAATACATATTTTTTAAAAAATAATCATCTATCTAGGCACCAGCCCAGTTTTCCAATCTTTTCCAAGATTTATAGTGTGCCTCACAAACTTCTTGCATCTCCTTCATTACAAATACACCAATTTCTGCAGGCTAAAATCTTGAATACTAGAAATAAAAAAGAAGATAAAAAGTTAATGATGTGCCCATTTTATTTACATCCCTATTCTCCACCACTTGTTCATTCTGGATAATATCCAGAATAGCACTCAGAGACCTAAAGTTTAGCTCAGGAAGAATCTAAGCTTCTATATTTAGAAAAGCAACCCAAAACTAACCCTTTAGGGCTTGACCTAAAACTAAACCCTTTAGTCTTTAGTCACTTTAATGGACTTTCTGGTGATAGCATTCTTAGCTTTCTGTTCAAACTGATGGAGAATCTAGACCTCGTGTCTGTCTTCATGGCTTGAGTGCTCTAACTGATAGCCATAACAAAACAGGCCAGAGTTCTTTCAAGAGAAAATGGTGATCCACTCAGCTTGCACTGAGATATTTGGATTCAGTTCTTGCTTCATAGTCTCAGACTCTGGACCCTTATTTCTTCTAGGTGCAGAACTGTAGCCCTGAATTACGAGCTACTTCTGGATATGAAAGAGAGCTTTTACATTCCATGGTTTCAGACTTTACCCCATTCACTCCCAGTAAATCTCCCCATTCACTACAGTAAATCCCAGCAGTAGAAATGTGAGGCTCACTCAACGTCCCATGTTTTATTATTTTCAGGGGTTACACTCTAAATATCATGAAAGCCAGCATCTTCTTTTGTGGATACAATGCTTTCTCTTTTTTTTTTTTTTTTTTGGATTGTAAGGTGAGAAACCCAGATAACATCTCTTCTCAGGCATAGGCAAAGTGCTTATTCTTAGTGATACAGTGATTTACATAATAATGTCATGAGGAAAGAGGAAGAGGAGCTGCACTCTTTTGTAGCGCTTCTGCTGGAGAGGTAAAGAAAAAATAGGCAACAGAGTTTGCCTTTCATACATGGTCACCACCTGTGTGCTTACAGAGAGTTGTCTGTAAGCAGCTGCTTATGTGACCACAGCACCATGTTCATCACTATGCCCAAATTAAATAACTCTGGTGTAATTCTCCCACTTTACAGCTGTGGTGTGGGAAAAGTCCTTGGGCTCATGTATGAACCCTGGGACTGTCCAGAATGAGCTTTTTCTCCCCATGCCCATAGAGAGAATTAGGGCTCTTTAGTCAAGATTTAGCACTGCAGATGTAAGAGTTATTGACATGAATCGTGCCTGTTATGCCTTCTCCTCTAGGATGTATTCAGTGTTCATCTGCAGCAGAACAAAACATGCAACTTAAGTAAATATCATTGGGCATCTTGAATTAACGTGCCCTGCAAAGCAGAGCAGGATAAAACCTCTGGGCCAGCTTCTTCCCACTTACCTGATGGGGGATCCACAATCGTTTACACCAGCAGAGTCACCAGAGCTTGCTGCAGGGATTTATATGATAAAATCTTTTACAGGATAATTTATAGGATAGTTTGCTGCAGGGATTTATAGGATAAAAACTTTCCTGTGGCAGTAGAAATACTTGCAGTAAAACAGAGACCTATGAAGGCGAGATCCAGCTTTGCTGCAGAAATCCCAACCAGGTACAAGTCAGGCCTGCACTGGGTTGAAATGTAATAAATAAATAAACAAATGAAGTTTTCCTTCTCTGACAGCTAGAAAGCTTTTATTCTAGTCCAGAAAGAAGGACAAGGAATTCCCATCATTGTTTCATGCTTTTTTTTTTTTTTTTAAGTCCATTTTTCAAAAAGTAATTTTGAAATGTTCTGGGAAATGCAGGGGGTGGGAATGCTAATCTATCATCCGCTTCTGATAGCGTTTAATTAAAAAACATAGCTATTAGTCATCTGCTACCCTACCACCAGGGCTGACCTGACAATATCTTAACACGCTGGTGAAAGAAAAATTGAAAAGACTCTTTTTCATTGTATTTTATCTTAGCAGTGGGGGAGAACAAGTATATAATTTAAGGGAGGGCAAAGACAGATTCTCATGCCAGTTTCTCAGGAGGTTAATCCAGCTTTTTTTTTTTTTTTCTAACACAAAGGTGTTCTTTCTCCTGTTATAGCCAATGTGACTGTTAAAATCAAACAAGTAAATAAACAAAAACAAGATAAATTACTATAGAAGAAAGTTTCAGTGATCAAAGCTATCCCCCTCCCCAGAAGACTTCTATAACTTGCATTTTTAGTCTCTGAAGAGTTCGATTTCTCCCCCAGTGGAATAGGAAACCAAGAAAATTCAGATTTCATTGTAATAAAGGTATTTCCCAGACCCCAGTCTTTCTGGTGACCATGAGCTGATGAGATTCAGGCTCAGCTTGGCCCATGTGCTCTCAAACATCTCTTCATCTACCTGTTGGCTGGACACATACCTTAGTGGAGAAAGCCCTAAAGCCATGATACCAGGAAATGGGCAACAGGCAAGCCAAGGCAGTTTCAATTTACACTTATTTGCCTTTTCTGTGGTTTAGCTAAAAACTACCCTCGCTTAGAGGTTCAGCATCATGTTCCAAAGGTTGATGGCAGACAGCAGCAAAGATATGACAAAGATAAAGGCCCCCATGAAGTTTGGGTTCAGGTCCTGGTTCCAGAGTAGGATGGAGATGCAGTTATAGTTTCATTCTTGGTCCAGTTTCCAGGTTAGATCTGAATAATATTGACCTTAGGTTGCAGTAGGACTGAACATCTAGGAGTGTAAGAAAGTCATCTGAAATAAACAGTAGACTTGATGAAGAATGAAACTTCCCATCACCCAATTACATAGGTGAGAACTGATCAATTGCTGAGGAGAAAAGAATAAGAATTACAGAATTATGGAACCTTCATTATGGTGTATTTAAATGTGCCTTAAAATTTCAGTCCTGAATTCATGTGCTTATTTCAGACCTGCCTGAAAGAAAAGATGTGAGAGCAGCTATACAATCCTTGACCAAATGTCCGTTCACTTGCTGTCAGAATCCAGATGCAGCTGCTTAGGAGAAACTGGAAATAAACAGACAGGAACAGCGCAGACCTTTCCCATTGGTACCTTCTTAGGGAATGGCAATTTGCAGATAAGTGTTTCTCACCTGAGGCTGCACCCACAGCAGTGTGTTTAATGGTTCTGATGGAGTTGCCTACCATTAATGTGTCAAATTTTAGTCTTTTTTAGTTTACTTCATATACTTGGCATTTGAAATTTTCTGTGTCAGGAGGCTCCATAATTCCTTGTGGGTTGTTGCTGATGTCTGAGAGGGAGGAGAACACCATTCCTGTTGCATATGTATGCCATTCTAGACTACGAGGAATTTGTTTTCTGCTTTCCGTGCTGAGATGTAGGAGGGAGAATAATCCCTAAACATTTCTACCATGCACAGCTTCTTTTGGCTACATGCAAAATCTGTGAGCCCAAGCAGGTATTTGTGATAGGTCAGTAATTCCATTGTTGTAATTCTTGATGCCTCAGAATGGACAGAAGGATAGAATAGGATGAAGGGACTTGCAAGGTAAGCGCCTCACTGTGTCAAAGCATAACTCATATTCTTTCAAGTTTCCCAGACTTCAGGTGACTCAATCCCATGTAAACCACAGGTGGAACTTCCCCTTCTTGGGCACCCAGAATAAATGCAAACAGGATTTGACAACACTCAAGCTTGGGAAAATGTTAAAAATTGGAAAGAAGAGGAAAGAACAACTTAAAGCAATACACATTTTCTTTGTTGGGTGACCCTCAAACCCCTGAAGCCAACAGTGCCACAAAGAACCTAGACGTTCCCTTCCTTCAAGCCTAGATGAGAAATTACTTGCTGTCATTTTTCTTCTATTTACCTTCTTCCTTATCTAGTTAGGCTATATCTCCACAGCAGAAAAGGTACACTCTTAAGTCACATTATTCTAAATATGGTTAAAGGAACAGCAAAGACAAGACCTTTGACATCCCCCATTTAAGTGTGAGCCTGACATAAATATGAGCTGTGAAACCATACTAAAACCCAAAGAACCTTATCTTCTACTTGCAGCCACTACTTCACTTCACTTTCTTGTCATCCCTTGTCCTGAATAGCTACTGGAAATTCTTACACAAAGTAAAAGATTCAGGGCTAAGACTCAGTTGCTCAAAGGCATGTTAGATGACTAATTGTCATTGTATGTGATGTGAAGTTGCTTATAATAAGCCAAAGTTAAAAGGTCAATGATGGAAACAGCTGAATCCTTTAAGACAGATTCACTGTTACCCACTTTGTAGTATTTGGTAGGGATGCTGTGCTTTACCACTCATGTCATCTAGGCTGGTATGTGGATCTAGTTTGAGATTGCTATAAAAAGAAGCTATGGCTCTACTTTGCTCACATAATCACCAAATCAACTCTGTGGTCAGTGTTCAAGAAGCCAAACCACTCAGCAAAGTGTGGCCACAGCCATGTGTCCCCTGGAAGACTATCACTAGCCAAAATGAGAACATGTAGCTACCTATTACATGTATTATTCTTATAATGATTCAAACTCGGGTTCAGGCTATTCACAGCAATTATGGTACTAACTTCTAACCTATCATTATGATCAGATTTTACACTGTGGACTCCCTGTAGCGTTCAATTCTTTCTCAAACCAATGGTGAAAGATACTGACAGTGTCTGTGCTCTCCTTCACATCCTGAGGCTTTGTGAACAATGGAAAAGCCCCTTATTCCCAACACTCTGCATATATGTGCTGAGTCTGAAGTTCACCTGACTTTCTTAAATTATCTGTGTAGGTTCATGAGCAGCCGAACGTGGTTGCTTGGTGTCTTGTCATTAGCTGACCTCTGTATCTAAGAAGATAGGAGCTCTGATTAATGCTTCTCTGCCCTTTGAAGCAACTCTAGCCTCTCCTCTCACATTTTGTCAGGTGAAGATTCCCTGGTGTGCAATAGGAGAATTGTATTCATGCTACTGATGTTTTCTCTGACAGCAAGATGATGAGGTTTCTCTCTTCCTTGTCTACTGAAACACCATTTTAAATGAAAACTCTAAAACTTGGTGTCTTCAAGACCTTTATGGCTCTGTCAGTTTTGGATGAAACTGGCAAGAGGATTCAAAAGTTACTATAGATAAAAATGAAGTTAAAGAGGGCCAGTAAAAACTGGAAAATCTAAAATTCCAAAAACCATCAAAGGAGATTATGATGCCATTAATGGATTTCTCATAAAGACAGAAATCATCATCTTTGTTTTGTACTTGTTTTTACCAAATTTGATTTCACATCAATGGGAGGTTCACCTAGCATGAGAGCCACTAACTCACAAACCTACAAATACCTTTCTTCCTCCACCAATGCAAAGATAAAATTACAGCAAGAGCCAACTGGGATTGAAAACCAGACATCCACAACAACACTGAACTTAGGCAAGAGAACTAGTGCATTTCTGTGGTTTTCTGCAGCTCATGCCCACCTGCACGCTGCTGTAGCCACATTGCTATCAGTACTTGGGCCATGCCACGTGAAGCTACCTCAGGTACATTTCTGTGAGCTGTAGTCACACCTTTGGCTCCAGCTTATGCACACCTGAAAAATCTTTTCAAGCCTGAGGCTCCCGTAGGCTGTTGCTGGTCCAGCCCACGGCATAAGGAATGCAGGGCAGCAACGCAGATGAAAGGCAACCCCTCCACCCCAAGCACATCACAAATAGGACCTCAACCTGGCTTTGTACTGTTTGGGACTCCAAGTTCATACACAGACATCATGCCTGTGGCCCTAATTTTTTGTGTAAATGCAATGTGCTAATATTTGCGTGTGAAAACTGTTTTTCCATTTGAAAAAGCTATAATTACATGTCCAATATTTGCAATTGGCAGTCCTCAGTTGCAGTTTTAACCATCGCACACCTAGCTGAGGCATGTAGTGAAGGGTTAAAATTCATAGGTTTCATGTTATGGGACTGATTTTGTCCACACAGTGATCATTATTATTTAACCAATCCCCTGCTCAACTCCAAGTTGTAAATGTGAAAAAAGTGAACTGTACTTCATGGGTGCTCCGTGCTTACTTCTCTTCTTCATTTGTTAGGGTGTGTGGTTTGGTTTGGTTAAGAAAGTAGCTATAATAAGATAAGACCATAGCCCACTGGATAAAATCCTAAGAATAATCATGCTAATGTTTTATTCATGTGGGAATGTTAATTAAGATGCAGCTGTAATTACAGTACCATCATCATCTAGTGGCCTGGAAGCGCAAATGTTCTTCCTGACATATGGAATAATAGAAGGCAGCTCGGTACAAATGCTGCTAACCAATACCCGGACAAACACTCAGCTACACACATCTCCTGGCCCCCAGGGTGCCCTTGCAAAAGGCATCAGTCACTGCCACTGGCAGAAACCGTTGAAGACAAAGCTGTGTTTTGCATCTCCAGGCTTAAAAAAGATCACACAGCATCCCAGGACCAAAAACAAATAAACATGCAGCTAACCTCAAAGTCCTCGCTCACACCAGAACAAATGTTGGGAGCAGCAAAAGTTGGATGCTGGGGAGGTTTCTTTATGTCCATCTTCACTTGGAAAGTTTTGGTGCTGATAGAGATGTGGCACAGCACGTGCTCTTTATTCATGGCTGCATGGGGTGCCCTGGGGCCAGCCCGCCCTGGCACAATATATTTGGCTGCACCTGGTGTAACCTCTCGTCCCCTGATTACAGCTCTCAGCTACACAACAGGCAGGAGCTGCTCAGCATTGTTCTCAGCTGTTGCCCTTTGATAAATAGCAAGAAAGCGAGGAGCAGAAAATGCCCTACATTTTACCCCACCTTGGCATTAAGCTGAGAAATAAATTAACTTTTGAATTAGCCTATAGTGTTTCTGAGGATGAACTGCTTTCCTGAAGACCTGGCTTAAACAAAAGATGAAATCTAGAAAGATCTCTGTTATGAAATATGTAGCCCTGTGAGGAGCCAGGAGTTGGACTTGATGGTCCTTGTGGGTCCCTTCCAACTGCAGATATTCAACAATTATATGATTCTAGGTTTCTAGCTCCAAAATCTCTGAAAAACTTCCTTTTATCCTGGGTGCTCCAAAACAAAAACAAAACAAAACTGAAACAAACATCAAAGAAAAAGACAATGTTTAGCTTGCTTATTTTGCTATCCATCATTCTAACCAAAGTTTTCTCATCTCTACACATCCATTGACATCTTCCAAAGGTGTGTAAATCATAAAGCTTTGGCTTTGTATAGAGATCATCTTTTTATTCTATGCCAATGATCAGGATTCCAGTTACTCCAATGAAAATATTCACATTGTTTCAGGGACAAAAATTCAAGGTTTTGGCTTTGTCCATCACAAAAGTTAGGAGCCATGGAGGGAGTTCAGGCTTACACTGAGACAGTTTGCAAGTTCAGTGCTCCAGGGCTGGTTGAGACCCATCTGTAAGAGAAGCACTCACAGCTCATGTGGGCTGGGAAAACATATTTTCATTCTGCTACACATGTTAAGATATCCAAATTAGATTCTATTACAGAATGGAAATAGCAATCAAAATACTAAATAAATAAATAAAAGTCCCAAAACAAGAATTCAACTGAGGAGCATGAAAGCAAAACAAACAAACAAAAAAGCCTTAGATGCAACAAAAGGTTGTTTTTGAATTTCTGAAATGATAAAGCAGCATTTTGTGGCAAATGGCAAGCCCCAAATTGATTTATTTTCTTAAAATCCCACAATTTGGAAAATATGAACGTGCTAGTTGAAGTAGAGTTTCCCAATGAAAAACATATACACTCACAACCCTCTCTAGTGCTCCCTCCAGAAAATATCAGCACAGCACTGCCACGTGGTCCAGCAGGGAGATTTTGATTAAAGGCGTTTCAGGCAGGTTGGTGGAGTGCACAAGGGAAGGACTCCCCTGTGCATCAGCTGCTTCATTAGTATTGCTGATCACCTGCTGTGCCTGGGGACTTTGTTCTTTGGGTGGACAGGAAAACAACAGTCATTCAGATGTCACTGTAAATTTCTTGCCTGGTGGTTGCGTTCTTTAATTGTCTTAATTTCCCTGTAGTAGAAATACGCAATACTTCATGCAACCAGTTAAAGGAAACAATTATTATAACCCTTGTCAACCATGAGGCGTGTCAAATATTAACAATGACTCCTCCAATAACATACCTATCTGTTTATCAGTTACCCAGAAATACTGTACCTGTTTCCATAACAGGAGCTCTTGAGTTCAGAGACTCTCCTAAAAGCCACATATTTCATGCTTGGTACTGATGGTAGGAGATGAAAAAATGAAGAGCCCGTGAAGCAGGTGAAAAAATTACATGACAGGATGATGGTTTGGAGGGACCTCCTATGGGAAGGTAAAAGTTTCATCTCATTTCCCTATGCATACAGTCAGTAACTTACAATTAGTGGTTAACCTTTTTTGGGTGCAAGGCGGAACTGCTAACTGTGCCTCTGGCTATTTGTGTAGGTGGAGAATGTAGTCCTTCCTTCCACACCTCCAAGACACACTGAGATGTTAGCTTCTTGTTTCACATAGTGCTGCCACCCTAATCTCCGTGCTCACCTTCCCACTGCTGCCCTGACAGATCCATTGACTCTCTCCTGAAACAGAGACAGTTTCCTCCATTTTGAGGAAATTCTGTTTTCCAAGACCTTCAGGAGTGTCTTCTCCCTGGATATTTCTGAGGTCCAGCTGAACTCTTCACCCTACAATACAGATACACACGTATACACATGCAGTGTTCAGACACTTCCATAGGCAATCTGTGAGACTCACTGTTAGCATCTCCAGGCTGGTATTTAAGTACCTGTGTCCATGCAAGCTCACGGAGTGAGCCTTGTACACTGTCCCTTGATAATATGCCTCGTTCATTTGCTGGCACCACTCCTGGTATGGGAGAGCACAGGCCAAGGACTGTGTCCAACCAACACGAGGACAAAAACCACGCTGTTTTGGGAAGGAAACTGATTTAGCTGCAAAGTCATGATCTCCACCATGTTACTTGCCTGAAGGCCAGGGAAACAAGCCCCTGTTCATTTTACTCGCTGCTATAGATGAAACCTCAGAGCTTGTACCTGGGAAATGCCATCCCAAGACTGTACAGAGACACAGAGTAAATGAGAGCTCTTCTGGAGTAGCAATTTCTGAAGATATATGAGCAAAAGACACAAGCAAGGGAAGAGTGGCTCTATCTAGGCAAACAGACTCTCAGCCCTAGCTAAAATATTAACCACATTTGCCATTTTGAAAATGGACCTGACAGTAACTGCTACAGTGTGTTCATATTGTGCTAAAACCTCATAAAAAAGGCTCATCTTGCCTGTCATCACGGGGAATCACACTGCTGGGGAGCCCTGAGGCTGAAACAGAGCTTGGTAAAGACACCTGGATATGGAGGATATCTAATTCTTGTGAACAGCAGTAGCTCCCATCATCCAGATGTTGGGAAGAGCACATCTGGCATGCAGTAGGGCCAGAAGGAGAGACAGAAGTCAATCCAGACATGTACAGCATCACCCACAGCAGCCAAGGGACAACCTCTCATACTCCCATGGCAGAGAATGGCAATACCAACCACATCCACTTAAAATCAGACCTTTGGGCATTAGCTTCACGTGATGGTCCCCAGAAATAAAAAGCTGATTCTTAATAAATGCTGGATTTATTTATTTATTTACTTACCCTTTGCAAATCCTGAAATCCACTTACCTGTGTTGGATCTTTCCTCAGCAAACTTGATTGAACCAGCCAGCATGGACCTTTCTGCTTCCAGTGAGATGTGGGATGCTCAGGTGTAAGCTCTGGCAGGTGGGTTTCGAGCAAGACATTCAGACTGGGAAGATTCATATGACCACGTAAGGTACAAAGAGCTCCCTCTCCCTGCCAAGAGCACTCATTCCACATTGTCTCTGAATATACAACGTGTTTATGTTTACCTTGCTGATCAGGTTAAAAGTGAAGAGAATTTTATTTCTTGTCTTTTTACTAAGTTTTTGTATCATTATGTTGGAAGGGAAATTTCTGATGGAAGGAAGTCCTGAGCAATATTCAAAACTAGAAAATTTTGCAATTTCAGCCATTTAACATCTGGAATTTTGTTCCTCTCCTTCCACCCAAGTGACTTTAAACCTCTCAGGCATTCTCCCTTAGGAAATATAAAGACTCTCATCCAACAGAGGAGCTTAGGCTCCAGATCTTTTGTGTGGTGCAGTTATCCCTTACCATTTACTCCTTTCTCAGGCCAAGCAATTGGGAAGACCTGCACCCATCCTTGTCACGAGTCAGAACATCCTCAGATTTTTTTGTGTTAGTTCAGACAACTCTGCAGTGAGTCCAGTTGCTTTAGTGAGGAAATCTGGATACATGCTAATAAGGAACCCACATCAACAGCTACACTCTACATTTATGTGTACATTTATGTGCACATTTATCTGCATGTACATATATATATATATATATATGTATATGGCCAAATACATGGTCATTTTGCAGTGCTAGATAGATTTTTAACTGAATTACAATCATTGTGACTACTACAGAAATTTCCTATGACTATATAGTTCGCAGTGGTATCTTCATGCTATTCAGAAAGGTGAGAAAAAGCAGGTATGGGAACTAACAGAAAGAAGTGAAGGCTGGGAGCCCCAGGGAGAAGGACCCGACCTTGGCATCCCTTACCTGAAAACAAGCAGGGAGTTATCCCATCTAAGTCATTGTCTGCAGAATCTTGTAACATTGCCATGAGGGAGCTCACCCCCCACACCAGTGCTTCCCTGGCTGCACCCCTCCTTCGGCATCACATCACTGCAGCTCCCATAACAAATGACTCTCCCCCTTTATCTCTCACACCAGCAGAGCTCATGTCAAGCTCCTTCTGGCTATTCCAAAGCTCTTTTTCCAGAACTAATATATTAACAAAAATATTTCTTGCTGCTTTCATTTTCCCACTGTTACATTCTCCGCTGAGTTTAATTAAATGCTCCCTGGTTGTGAGAATGGGGCAGGGAGGGTTTCTGTCCCTTTCTGCAAAAGAGCCCACCGAGAAGGTTTCCTTAATCTCTCACCAGCATAAAATGAGTTTTCATTATGCCAACGAGTAAGCTTCAAAGTTTTAATTAATTTCTCTGCTTACATAAGCATAACAATATTAGTCATGTTGTTCTGTAAATTGTACCGGCCAGCCTGGATTTTTAATTAAATTAGTGTCATTACATTCAGAGAGATGAAATATATTCCACCACATGCCCTATCTAGGCAATGCTTATCCTCCTTCTTGACTCCCCCTCAATTCTTTGTGGACTGCATAGGTGGGTTTAAAGCTGGGCACACCAGATGAGCTTACCAGCGAACCACTTCTAAATTAACAACCTCAGTTTGAAAAAGAGATTCCTTCAGAGAAACAGGACCCATTCACATACACTGCAAACCAAACGAAACAAGAACCCACAGGGGTCTAGGGATGGGGGAGGAATGAATGTGCCCACATATGAAAGATACTCCTCGTTGTCTGTAATTTATGAAATATTGTACAAACACAACTTCGGTTTGCTATTGTAGTCATTTACTGGTGCCTAATAAAGCATTCATTTGTGTGGTGACCTCTGCAACAATTTATAGACTCGTTTAATCATGGAAATGGAA